AACTTCAGCATTAAGACATCTCCAAGCTGCTCATCTCTCCACTATAAATACATGTATCAACACTAAGGTACATGATCTTCTCCTACATAATTAAATCTGCTTGAACCATAACTGACTTGAGCGTCAGAGTGTCTTGCAGGTACACCCCCCATCTCGTTCCATAGAAGACCCATGAGTTAAAGCTGCTCCAAACTCCAAACTGCAAGATGCTCTGACCCAAGGAGGTTCCAGGCCTTTGTGTAGAGGAAGATCACATGATCGGCCCATTTGTAATAATCTGGTCTGATCACTTTTTAAGGTATTTATTGTAAGGAAAAATATACACTCATGTTGTTGGAGGATATTTTTCTTTCCTACATATACATTAATTTCCGTGTTACTTTATTTTTTTTTTATAAATGAATGGATCCCACATATGATTGTATCTATAACATGTGAGGACTTCTCTTCTATTGCATTATATTAATAAAGCGAAAAACTATTCTCATGCTACATTAGATAAGTTTTTTTTCTTACACACTCTTCGATAATTGTGCCACTTTTTTCTTTTTATTTTTTCAGGTGGTGGAGTCTACAAATTTGTCTCTATAACATGAGATAACTTATCTCTTTTAACATAGATTAATAAAATCCATTAACAAATCCCTAATTGTAATCTTTTAACGCTGTCAGCACACGATACAATTGCGGTTGCCGCATTGCCTATTTCTATTGAAAAGAGCCTGCTAACTAATGACACTACAGACTTCAGGACACAAAACAATATTTAAACCACATTTGCAAATAGAAGCAAAACCATGCCTCTTTGCCTCATGCATCATGTCATCTTGTGCACATAGAAAATTTATTTTTCCAGTAAAATAAACTATTCTTAGAAGCTCTATCTTTCAATTATTTTAAAAGAAGAGATGGAAGCGGCAATTTTTTTTCCCCGCGGGATCAATGACATTCAGGTATTTTGATCGATTACCCGTATAATCCGATTCGATAAAGTAGTTATTATTCACTTTAATTTTAAAACATAATTGTCCAAGCCCTATAATTAAACCAGACCTAGGAGTTTATTTATTACGCAAAAATTCCAAGTAGAATGCAGTTTATTATTTGGTAAAGAATAAGAGTTAAATTTTCCAGTTGCAAATTATGTTTCTTTTCCCCCCTACAAAACAATGTCAATGCTGATGTTTCACCACAATCTGCTAGCTATATTATTGGCCTAGCTAGCAGATTAACTAGCTAGTTGCTAGTTGCTATTAACTAAAATGCATTTATCTGCTAACTATATTATTGGCCTCTCTTTCTACTTGCACCACTTTTACGTTAACTACATTGCCCAACTGTACAGTGATTCCATCTGTGAATTTTAACACAGGAACAGTTTAAAGGTGTATCACTAAACTCAATTACAATTAGATGGAGCCACTGTTCAGTTACGCACAATTGCGTAAATACTTTAGGTAAACAACCACCTCAAATTAAAATCTTAAGGTGTTGGATGAGAGTCTTTTTAATGATTTATATTATTCTCTAACATACCCACCCCTCACGCAAGAGCCCTTTGAGCTTGAAGGGTGGATTATTGCATAGGTCCAATTTTTGGTTTACCTTTTGTGCTTTTTATTTAATTCCACTTGAAAGTGGGGGACGGTGAGGACCGAACTCGTGATCACTGAAGTTCTGATACCATGTAAAAAACCACTTCAACCCAAAATCTTAAGATGTTAGGTGATGACCTTTTTAATAATTTATATTATTCTCAAATACTTTATTTTTACTTGGTAAAAGTTTTTGTGTGAATTAATTTTAGTTGGGGCAAAAGTAAGAAAGGAAGTCACAGGGAAGTAAGGTTCTGCAATTGAGGGACACCGTAGGTCACATAATCATGTATTGGAAATACAAGTCTGGTTCTACAGAAGTCAATAGATTAGCACTTCTGGTTATATGACAGTTTCACGGAAGACTTGGAAACTTTGTGCTGGAAAGCATAACCAGAAGAACCTATGCACAGGAACGATTTCATGTGTAATATCCTTACACAATAGTAGACATTCAGATCCACTGACGTCACCGCTTCATTTTAATTTTTTCACAACCTCAAGGACAACATTACCGACAAGTGTCTAATCAAGTCACCTTAATTCAGAATGCATAATCAAATAATAGTTTTGATATTTGATCACCAGTTCAAAAGTTGTGAATTGAAAGCAACTTTATTGTAACTGAAAAATTGAAAGGAATTCACCAAATTAAACGTTTCATAATGCCAAAATACTAGAAGGGGTTTCTCAGTACTTTTTAGCCTTTGAATGAAGGAATTCCATGTGGTGGTTGGTGGTGGTGGATGTTGATGGCACACTAGATTTCATCAGAACTACTAGCACCCCACAGTACCAATAGTACTAATAGCACCCCACTGTAGCCCAGTCTCACGCGTACATATAGTAAAAGAAGTCCTAGTCCTAATTGTTTGTCACCCACTTCTTCCATAAATAAAGTGAATCATTTTACTTTTCGCGTTTAAAACTTTGTCAGTGTGGCGACTTGTTTGATGATGAAGTAGAGTTGGATTTGCATCCAAATTCATTGTCCTGGTCCCTTTTATCCATGCGTGTCATGTCACATTCTCTCTGCTTTTGTATCATAATTATACGCATAAGTTGGACGCCTTTTCAGTTTTATAACGAAATCATTTTGCATGTGTGTGTGTACCTGTATGTTTAGCCAAATGACACATGTACCCCATCACATTGAGCCATCAAGACCACTCGATCACATGGTAGGGATTAGCAGTAGAAGTGTATTTGGGGAGTGATGGCAGTTCCCAGTGATTGATGGTCCAAAACTCCAACAAATCCCAGAAATTTGCTTTCGCTTTGCCAACCAATTTAGATATTAGGCTAAAACGGTGGAGAGGGATCCAAATGGTCTTACTCTGTTTGGATGCTGGTGATCCCCAGTTGTACATCTCAATTGCCATGGGTTTCTGGAATCTGTCTTAAAATTTCTGTCAGGCTGATAAGGAAAATAGGAACACTCGAAATTTTCTGCAACCGCTGATAAAAGGTGAAAAGCAGCTATTTCCTTAAAAAACATATCTTTTTGTATTTACTGTTGATTTGGGGCCACAACAAACTTGTCATGTCCCCTTCCAAAATAAATCAAATGTCCATCAGAGTTATAAGGGTAATTTTTTTTTTTTGGGTAAATACTAGGAGTAATCTTTTGGTGCATGCAAAGCAAGTAAATGACAGTTTAGCTAACACGAAGAAATGATTTTTGTTGTGATTTCTAAGTATTGCTAATGAGTAGGGAATAAAAACCATCTGGCCTGCTCAAGCACAAGGTCGGACATCAATTTTATTTTATTTTTTAATTACAAGACATGACATTGCGTAAATGTAGTTGAGTGCATAGTTATTAAAACCGGACCGATCTGGCCGAGTCGATGCGGGAACCGGTCATATAACCGGTCCGGTTGAAGTAACGAACCGGCCATGCATCAGAACCGGTGCGACCCGGTCGGTTTTCATAAAAACCGGTGACTCGGTCGGTTAACCGGTGACCCAGTCCGATCCAAAAAAAAAAAAATTCAAATTTTTATTTTTTTCCAAAAAATTCATAATAGTCATATTTGAATTTTTTTTTTCTTATTGACTTACATAAGTTATGTACCTACAACACTAATATTATCTTAATTATGTACTATGCATAAGAGTTTGAATTAATTTATAGTTAGAGATTTCGTTTTATGAACCTAAAGCCTCACATCACGATCATTATATTTTTGTTTTATTTTTATTTGATAATAATATGTGATTTATTATTTTTTGTATTAAAATATTTGAAATTTTTATTAATTTTGTTTAGATATTTGAGTATGTTTATGATTTTTTAATATAAATTATAAAATTGCATATAATTACCGGGTCATGCGGTTGAACCAGTGATCCACTGGTTGAACCAGTGATCCAGTGACTCGGTACCTCGACCGGATCAATGACCGGACCGATTTTAATAAGATTAGTTGAATGGAAAGCTTACGCATGAGACCAAGACAGGTTACCTTCCTCTTGCTGAAATACAGAATTCATTAGTAGAAATGGGCCCGAGAAAAACTATAACTTAAATAGTGGACCTTCCTTGTTATAATAATAAAAAAAACTCAACAAACCCATAACCACGGAAGTTGCATCTCTCAATAGTAATGGTGTTAAATACGGAATAACAGTCCAAAAAGTGATTCAGGTTCAGACTGTTAATGAGACAAGGCCATAGAAAAAACAGGAACTTAACTTGATAGCTTGTGCTGATAGCTGCCATTACCCGTTGCTTGTCAGCATGCATATATACCTTTTACTTTGCCAGCTCTGATTCAGGGAAAGGAAAAAAGAAAACCAAAAAAAAAAAAAAGTTTAAAGATTTTTATTTTTGGAAAAAGATCTTAGAAAAAGTCCATTCCATTATTCTGCCCGACTTCTGTATTTTGGTTTCAAGTCTTTCCGCCCTAAACTCTAATTTGGACCATCAAACTGAAACTGAAACTGAAATTAAGTTGGTCCGATAACACGCTCAACTGATTTAAGAATTGAGATGGGAAAACATGTTTGATGATTTGATTAATTGTTCCTTTATTTTAGGAGATAATTTTATCTCTTATATATATAAAAATAACTGAAACTGAAATTAAGTTGGTCCGATAACACGCTCGTTACGTGTGTATAAGAGATAAAATTAATCCCTTATTTTAATCATCAAGTCTTGTTTGGACGATGTGTGTGTATCATATACGTGGGCCTTAAACATCCCAAGTCCGAATTCAAACAAAAAGTGGTGCCTGACCAAGATATAAAAGAGTTGGCAACCCACTCATCTACATTCTTAAACTGCAAGTGGTGTTTGGATGAAAGGGTATCCATGCTCTGGTGGGCTTTCCTTGACTCCATAAACTTCTATAAAACATGAAAATCGTGATTTAATGCAAATACTTTTCTTAATCCCATAGACATCCATAAAGTTTGGGGACAAATTGAGGGCTCAATTGGTAATAGAAGAAAATCTCAAATTGCAGTACGGTATTTACATGATGGAAACTATTTACCACAAACTCATGGTAGCCTCTTCAGTATTCCTAAAAATACTACTGAACAGGGAAAGTAAACCCATCGATAATGTCAAATCAGTATTTTAATCAAATTCGTTGCATGAGAAACATCTGAACATCTCCAGTTTTGCTATGAAGGGCAGAGGACTACCTCAATAATTCATCACGGGATCCTAATGCCTCAAGAATGCTTTCTACCCAGCTGTCAAAAGGAGGAAGGTTGTCGAAAAGAATATTATTAACAGTAATTCCAAGCAGTCAAAATAACAATAGCACATCTGTACATACTAAGCCAACTTACCCTGAAGTACTTATAACACGTCAATGCATATGCTTTTATTCAACTACCATTCTAATGCAAGATACTCTCAAAACTTTGTCTTACAGCATCCCGTAGACAGGGTGACAAAAAAAGGGGAAATTACCAAAAAGGAACTTGATGAAATATTTTCTATAAAGGAAAAAAAAATCATATTTTCACACACAATCACCACAATAGACTCAACTTCAACAACATAGTAATCATCAAGTACCGGCAAAATATAGAATAACAGTACTAGCGAGAAAACATTATTATTGTTTTTTTGGATATAAAAAAATGCGAATTATTTTAAAAGGTAAAATTGTACATATACTCCCTAAGCTTTATCTGAAATAGCCACCATGAACTTTTGGACGCAGATGAGAGAGCCTTAAACTCCCTAAAACTTGCTACTAGACCCTTCTGTGTCCATCAACAAAATGGAAACCAATCATTACGTGACTTGCACATTTTCATTAACATGCATGATAGTCACTCATTTATCGACATCGTTTTTCTTTTTTTAAATATAAAAAATCCATTTTATCTTTTCAGTTTAATTTCTACTAATGAAAAAGATAAAATATCCATGAAAATTAAATTAAAAAATAAAAAAGCTTCTTTCAAAGACTATCACGTGTATTAATTAATAATATACACCTGTCAGGTGATAAATAGTTTCTATGTAGCCAATGAACCGAAAGATCTATTTGCAGGTATTTGAAAGTTTAAGAACCTCCCATGTAGATTCCAAAGTTCAAGGTAGTCACTCACTTAAAAATGGGATAAAATTCATCGAGTTTTATACATTTTTCCTTATTAAAATGAGTGACATAGTGAATTTAGAATAAAGATAAATTATAAAACTAGAGTCATTCTTAAGTAGTCTAATCCTATGCTACATTCCAAAAAATAAAAGGGCTTCTTAAAAACATCGTGCAAAATTATTTCAAAGATTCTCCGTGTGACCCAGACAGTTGTTAGGAACCGCTATTTAGGGAAGCAAGTTAGAAGAAATAATGATTATGCAAAGAATCAAGTGGACCAGCTTCTATTAGTTAGGCCTAGTTACTTTCCATGCAGGGTGGTTAACAGAGGTAGTTAGAGAAATCCCAACAGAACTAGTTAGTTAGGAGATTGGGATTAAAAATAAGGTTGAGAGAATATCTATAGGACCGTTGGGCAGTTAGTAAGTAAAGAGGCAAGGCCAAAGACTAGCATTTTTCCGGAAGTTAGGAGAGAAGCTTCGTACTTTTCTATCTCACTCATTATGAAACTCATATTTTCTCTCACTCATCATGAAACTCATATTTTCTGATGATTTATCAATAAAGATTCAAACCCAATTCTTGAGATTATGAATGAATTTCAATTAGACCCTCAGGTGTCAAAGATGATCGTTGTCAGTCCTGAATTCAATTGTTTGAATGAGATCTTTCAGTTTCTGCCATGCTATCAGCATCCAATTGCTTTGTCCGGCCTAGAGGCACAGAAAGCTGTGGATGAAGCGAAAGCTAGGTTTGGGCACATTGATGGAAATCATCTCACGCTCTTGAACACGAGGATCCGTCTATGTGCTACGATAACTTCATTAATCACAGTGTTGAGATATATAGTCCCACATTGATTATGTAGGCAACTAATGTGGCCTTTATAAGGCCTTGGACACTCTCACCCTTTGAGCTAGCTTTTAGGGTGGTGTATCTCAAGTTCGATTCTCACGGCCCCCCACTTTCAAGTGGAATTAAAATAAAAAAGCACTAAAAGGTAAACCAAAAATTGAGCCTGTGCAATTCCACGCTTCTCGCCCAAAGGGCTCTTGCGTGAGGGGGCGTGTTGAGATATATAGTCCCACATTGATCATGTGGGAAACTAATGTGGCCTTTATAATGCCTTGGACACTTCCACCCTTTGAGCTAGCTTTTGGGATGGTGTATCCAAGATTCTTTACACACAGGACGCTGAAAGCAACTGATAATTATAGACAAACAGTGTATAGCAACATAACTTAGAAGGAAGGAAGAAATAGGGGAAAAGGAGAATAATTGAAGAGAGAAGAGAAAATTTAGATCAGGAATAAGTGAGAGGATAGGAGTGAGAAGAGATAAGTGGAAGGAAGCATGTAATTGCTTAACTCCTCGGTGGGCTGTCTATTATATAGCCACTTACATATTCTGAGAGAGGGGGGATATTCTTACTACCAAAAATATCCACTACCAACCTACTACCTCCACAATTACCATTGGATCAAAGAGAGAGGATGTTAAAAAGTTTTTGAAGAAAGAGAAAATGTTGATCCAATGGTGATTATGGAGGCAGTGGGTTGGTAGTGAATTTTTCTAGTAGTAAGAATATCCCCACTCATTCTAAGATTTAAAGTAAACTACCAAATTATGAAATAAGATAACTAATACTACTAATAAGATAAAATAAACCAAACTTATTAAGATGAACTAAACTAATCAAGATAAAGATAAATTAAACTAATTGAGATAACATAATTTGTCTTATGTTATGGCAGTTAACTGATCCCTGATCTCGCTGTTGCTAGCATAGCATGGGAGATTTTCCATGAAATGGGAACTATATGGTTGAGATTCAAGCAATGGGACCAGGTGGGAGGTATTTGACCATCCACGACACATCTCAGCCCTTCACCTTGTTAGGAAACCCCTATTTAGGAAAGTAGATTAGAAGAAACAATGGTAGGCCCAAAGAACCACATAGCCCAGCTTTTTTACTTAGGCCTAGTTAGTTCCCGAACGGGGTTAACAGGGGTAGTTACAGAAATACCAACAGAATTAGTTAGTTAGGTCATTGGTATTATAAATAGGGTTGAGGAAATACATGTAGGAGATTGATGAGAATTAGAGTTAGTTAGGGGATTCTTCTAGAATATTCCTAGAGGATGGGATAAAAGGTGAGGGAATATTGGGAGTGGGGTATGTGATTTGTAATTGATTTGGTTTGGGTATTGGGTTGGGAGAGGTGCTGTTGGAGCCCTCTGTATCTTTTTCATAGTGTCTTTAGGGCTGTTTTCATGCATCACAATAGCTGCTCTGGATATTCGTTACTGTAAAGATAATTTTCCATAGTGTGTTTCTGTGTTTCCATTCAGTTTGTAGGTGTAAAGAACCAATTCAATCCAAAAACTTAAGTTGTTGGATGAGGCTGCATTAATGATTTTATATATATCAACACGCCCCCTCACACGAGAGCCCATTAGACTTGAAGGGTGGACGATGCATAGGCCCTACCTGTACGAAGAAAGAAATTCCACTAGAAAGAAAGTGGGGTGCGATGAGGATCGAACCCGGTACACCGAGGCTCATGTAAAGAACCAATTCAACCCAAAAGCTTAAACTATTAGGTGATGGCCTCTTTAATAGTTTATATTATACTCTAACACGCCCCCCCTCACACGAGAGTTCACTGGACTTGAATGATGGATAATGCACAGGTCCACCTACCTGTGCTAAGAAAATTCCACGAGAAAGTGGGGTCGGAGAGGATTGAACCCGGGACACAAGACTCTGATACCATGTAAAGAACCAATTCAACCCAAAAGCTTAAGCTGTTGGATGAGGCTACATTAATGGTTTTATATATCTCAACACGTCCCCTCACACGAGAGCCCCACTGGGCTTTAAGGATGGACAATGCACAGGCTCACCTACCTCGAAAGAAATTCCACTAGAAAGAAAGTGGGGGCGGTGAGAATCGAACCCAGTACACCGAGGCTCTGATACCATGTAAAGAACTAATTCAACCCAAAAACTTAAGCTTTTGGGTTGAATTGGTTATTTACATTAAGCTTTTGTATTGAATTGGTTCTTTATAGTGGGTTAATCCATTGAGGTTCCATTAGAGTTTTAGACAATTAGTAAGATGAGAGGTAATGTCAGAGACTAGAATTTTTCTATAGGTTAGGAGAGTTCGGAGTAACCCACTCTTAGGAAACTCTTGTTATGATGAGTTATCAATAAAGATTCAAACCCAATTCTTGAGCCAGTATCTATCAACGGGGAACTTCCTTAGCATATAAAATAGGTACTGAATACTTGATTAATAGAAATATCTCAAGAAAGTCCCCAAAAAGTATTTCTTGAAAGTGGATTTGTAATTACCCTTCTAGGCCTGGTTGCGTTGGGTAGTACACATTTCTGAAGCCTAACCTTCTTGCCATTGAAGCAGTTGTCTCACCAATGCATGCAACAGAATTGCTCCACTCTGACTCTGAAAGATGATTCTTCCAGGCACTGCTGCGGCAGATTTACATGAACTAAGTAATTTGTATCAAGAAAAAAGATGAACTGGGTACATGCTAAATAATATAGAACTTCCTAAGAACAATTTCCTACCTATTTCTACAGTAGAAATAAGAAGATAATGCAATTTTTCCATGATTCTTCCAATACCAATAGTCATTAGGATGCTTGACTAACAAAGGGACAAAATCAGCATCCCAGTTAGTTGGTATGAAGCAGTCAATTGGACTCATCAAGAAAGTTTTAATGCATAACGCCCGCTTGCATAGAATTGAATTTTAAATCCAAATATAATTAACTTGTAGATTCGAAATGTGTACGAAATTATTATAAAATTAAAAGGGAAAAAAGAAGAGGAAGAAGCAAAAAGCAGCTCACCGAATTGCAGATGGTGAAGCTACTGTAACAACAGGGGCTGAAAGTGCTTGCTTTAGAACCATATGGTCAACGTGTTGAATTGGTACCTGATAAACAAGTTAGGGGCAACAGTGAATCTCACAAAGAGATAATATCATAAATAGCCCAATCTAGAAGTTCTTCCAAGTGCAAGGAATAGAAGGTTATGACCGAACCTAAGCAAAACCATTTGTAATCTAAATTTTTCAAATATGACAATACAACAAAAGCAATTGAAGATACCGGTAGTATATATATGCCCATTATTCTCAAGTTGTAAACTTCCACATAAAGTAAATAAATGTAAGGGAAAGATTGTATGAAAAAGGCACAATTTCATGCTTTTGTGACCTTTTCATCCAAACTGCATAATGTGACACGCACAAATACTTTCTAGCAGGGAAATCATTCTCATCAACGCAACTTCCCAACAAGACCATGAAACAGACGACTGGAAATTTACCATTAATAAATATTATATCTTGAATAATTTAAGTCAATTAATTGTATGAAACACAAATAGAATATGCGGCGCTTGCAAAGAATAAGTATTGGACCATGTTTTCTTGAAAAGGGAGGGGGCAAGGCTAAAATATTTTACCGTTGTATAAGTACTCATCCTAGTAACCTCAAATCCGCGATTTGAAAGTCCTTCCTCTGGTTATATAAATAGCACACAAACAATTAGCATATCATCGCCTTTGCATGTAGTAGTTTAAAAATATTAACTTTTAACTTAGAAAATGCTGAAACAACAACAAGATAATTCATGTACCAATCTCATTGCTAGCCTTTGCAGAAGCAGGATATAGAACAGTGGATTTATTTCCAATCTTAGGAAGCTCTGTAGCCAAAATCTTTCCTGTTGCTGAAAATTATCAAATCCATTATCAGCTTCACTTTGAGGAGTTGAAGCTTTAAATTCCGGCTTAGCAAGAGCAAGCTTCAATCTCTTTACTATTATACTAAACAACAATATGATCGATCACCTACTGATGAAATGCGGAACATGGATGCACAAAAATAACAGAACAACCAAAGTAAAGAAAGGTCCCGCTCTCCCCTATCTAGATGCATATCTGGAACTACTCTAGTTATGACATATTCTCCTTGATTACCCGAAAATACTTGTAATATTCTATTGAAAAGAAGTTTTTGTATATTGATATTGAATAAATTACATGAGTGAGTATTTATACAAGAAAGAATCGCTAAGAATGACTAAGCGATGACTAATCAATCCTATCACAATCCTAATCACAATCAATTCTAATCAATCACAATCAATCATAATCAATCCTAATTAATAGGAAATAAAAACGGAAACATGTTTGAATTCTAATTTTCTACACTCCCCCTCAAGTTGGGAGGTAAATATTGATCATTCCCAACTTGCCAATCAAGTCTTCGAATGCTGGACGGTGTAGGCCCTTGGTAAGGACATCTGCCGTTTGCTCTTTGGTTGGAACATATATCAAACGCACACTTCCATCATCTAATTTTTCTTTGATGAAGTGACGATCAACTTCCACGTGCTTTGTTCGATCATGATGCACAGGATTTTGAGCAATGCTAACAGCTGCCTTGTTGTCACAATATAGTTTTATTGGTAGGGAATATGAAATCTTCAACTCTTGAAGAAGTCTTCTCAACCAGATTCCTTCACAAACTCCATGAGCTAAAGCTCGAAATTCTGCTTCAGCACTACTTCTTGCAACCACTGTTTGCTTTTTGCTTCTCCAAGTAACAAGATTTCCCCACACATAGGTGCAATAGCCTGAGGTAGATCTTCTGTCTACTGATGAGCCTGCCCAATCTGCATCAGTGTAGATTTCAATTGTCCTTTTATACCCCTTTTTAAAGAATAATCCTCTTCCTGGAGTATTCTTGAGGTATCTAAGCACCCTATAGACTGCACTAAGATGCTTCTCCTTGGGTGAGTGCATGAATTGACTAATCATACTCACCGCAAAGGCAATGTCAGGACGCGTATGAGATAAGTAGATTAGTTTACCAACCAATCGCTGATATTGTTCTTTATCCACCTCATTCCCATCTTCAATACCTAACTTGGTATTAGGTTCCACAGGTGTCTCAGCAGGTTTACACCCTAACATTCCTGTTTCCAACAAAAGATCTAGAACACATTTCTTTTGTGTTAGAGTGATGCCTGTTTTGCTCCTAGCAACTTCCATACCAAGGAAATATTTGAGAGTGCCAAGGTCTTTGAGTTCAAATTGAGCTGCTAGAAATTTCTTCAAGGTGTTCAATTCCTCAATATCATCACCTGTAAGAATTATATCATCTACATATACAACAAGAATAGCAATTTTACCATCCTTAGAGTGTTTGTGGAAGAGAGTATGATCAGTCTGTGCTTGAATGAAGCCTCTTCTTTTGACTGCTTGTGTGAATTTGTCGAACCATTCTCTGGGAGACTGTTTCAATCCATATAGAGACTTTTTTAGTTTACACACTGATCCATTTCCCTTTTCAAAACCAGGTGGAGGATCCATATAGACTTCTTCATGTAAGTCACCATTTAGGAATGCATTCTTCACATCTAACTGTTGCAGAGGCCAATCTAGATTGGCAGCAAGAGATAAGAGAACTCGGATGGTATTGACTTTAGCAACCGGAGCAAAAGTCTCATGATAATCTATCCCATGAGTCTGAGTGAAACCCTTTGCAACCAATCTTGCCTTGTATCTGTTGATGCTATTATCTGCATTGAATTTTATTGTAAACACCCATTTGCATCCTACTGCCTTTTTTCCTTTGGGTAGGGTCACTATCTCCCAAGTTCCATTTCTTTCTAAAGCATTTATTTCTTCAAAGACAGCATCCCTCCATTTTTTATCATTGAGAGCCTCATGTATATTTCTCGGTATCTTTGTACTATCCAACATAGTATTGAAAGCACGAAACCCTGGGGACAACTTTCCATATGAAATATGATTAGAAATAGGATGAGTAGTACAAGATCGAGTACCTTTTCTGAGAGCAATGGGCAAGTGTAGATCATTTTCACCATGACACTCAAGTATTGGGGTGCTGGAACTAGAACATGGTTCAGAATCCTGGCAGTGTAGAGGCTCTGGGTTATTCACACTTTGAGGAGGCTTTCGCCTGCTATAAACTTGTCCCCATTTTGAGGAGGCTCCTGATGGTGAGGATTCTGTAGCTCCCCCTGTTTCCAAAAGTAGAGGTAATACTGTGGCATTAATAGGTTCCCATGACTGATCTTCATCTACTCCTATAGACTCCCCCTGAAGAGAAGTCGAGGGGAAGAAAGGGTCATTCTCAGAAAAAGTGACATCCATAGAGACAAAGACCTTACGAAGAGAGGGTGAATAACACTTATAGCCACGTTGAGTAGGAGAATAACCAATAAAGACACACTGGAGAGACTTAGGATCAAGCTTAGACCGTTGATGGGAGGGAATATGGACAAATACAACACAACCAAATAACTTAAGAGATAAGGAGGAGACACCTCGGAAGGAAGGGAAGATACGAACAAGACTAGAAAGAGGAGACTGAAATTTCAGAATGCGAGATGGCATTCGATTTATCAGATACGAGGCAGTGAGAACTGCCTCTCCCCAAAGATATTTAGGAACACTCGTGGTAAACATAAGAGCCCGAGCAACTTCAAGGAGATGTCGGTTTTTTCTTTCCGCAACTCCGTTTTGTTGGGGTGTGTCAGGACACGAGCTTTGGTGAAGGATGCCATGTTGGGAAAGATATTCTCCAAGAATAGAGTTAAAATACTCTTTGCCATTATCTGTACGAAGAATTTGTATAGCAACTTGGAATTGGGTTTGAACCATGGCATGAAATTTTTTAAACACGGATGCAGCATCGGACTTATCCTTTAGAAGATACACCCAACAAACTCGAGAATGGTCATCAATGAAGGTAATGAACCATCGAGTACCTGAAATATTTTTAACACGGGCTGGACCCCATATGTCGCTATGAATTAAGGAAAATGGGGAAGAGTCATGGTGAACTTTAGAAGGATAATGAGCACGAGTATGCTTGGCAAGTTGACAAATATCACAAGAAAACAAACTTGGACTTTTATTAATAAATAAGTTTGGCAACAACTTCTGAAGATAAATAAAATTTGGATGGCCTAGCCTACGATGCCACAGCATAACATCATTACATGAATCAAAAGGAAACATAGAGTTTTTTTCTACGAAAACAGCTTCATGAGTCACATCCTCCTCAAAGTAGTAAAGTCCACAATCCTCTCTAGCACTGCCAATCATCCTCTCCGAGTCCTGTTCCTGAAAAACACAACCATGTGGAAAGAATTTAGCAAAGCAATGCAACTCAGAGGTGAGCTTGCTAATGGAAATGAGATTACAAGTCAGAGAAGGAACATAAAGAACTGATGTCAAAGTAATCAGCTCAGAAAGTTTAATGGTTCCGTGTCCCGCAATCTGGGAAAAACTGCCATCGGCGATCTTGACCCGAGAAGGTTCAGAATATGGAGTGTATGAACAAAACAAGCCAAGATTACCTGTCATATGATCAGAGGCTCCAGAATCAAGGATCCAATGATTTTGACTATCAACATGGAAAGTTGTACCTTGCTGGACCACATGACTAGTGGCCTTAGGAGGTTGCTCGTGGTAATAAAAAAAGTGTTTTGAGGAAGCCATGAATAAAAAGAGAAGGGTTGACCGTTGATGAAAAATCAAGTTTTGTAAACTTTTGATATGACCTCTGGAACAGGAAGGGGAGAAGCCGGCGAGAAGATCTGTGCAAGTCGCGACGAAAAAAAAAACGTCTGGAAGGCGGCGCGTGGCGGCGCGTGCAGCGGCTGACGACGATGGGTCCAGCGGCGGTCGACTCGTCGGATCCTTCTGAGTCGAATGGTCACCTCACTTTTTTGATCGGAGGTCAGTAAACTAGGTTTCTGTGTTGGACAGATTCAAGGCGGTGTTTAGGAGGTGTTTGACGGTGATGGAAGTGTTTGGATGGTTATTTCAGATTTGAATTAGGGTAGGAACGAACCCGCTCTGATACCATATTGAAAAGAAGTTTTTGTATATTGATATTGAATAAATTACATGAGTGAGTATTTATACAAGAAAGAATCGCTAAGAATGACTAAGCGATGACTAATCAATCCTATCACAATCCTAATCACAATCAATTCTAATCAATCATAATCAATCCTAATCAATCATAATCAATCCTAATCAATCATAATCAATCCTAATTAATAGGAAATAAAAACGGAAACATGTTTGAATTCTAATTTTCTACATATTCAAATATATTACTTTATATTTCTTTAGTCAGTCATCCATCATGGTGAAGAAGCGAATCTGGGGACAGTACAATGCAGGAGCCATTTAAATTCAGCCTACACCTAACTACACACATGGATACCTTTTGATGGTGCAAAGGCAATATCAAGCGATTGTTTTGAAGACTGCAAAGCTTCCTTTAAAATGCTTGCAGTACCAGCCCCAACAACGCCAACTTTGACATGAGGCATCCCAGCAACTCTAAGGACAACAATCAAGACTAAGACAATCATTTGTTAGAAAATAAAATGCTCAACAAAATTATATTAATTGAACACACAAAAAAGGATAGTGTAAAGAACAGAGCAAAAGGAATGCTTAGTTTTTTATGTTATTTTTTATATCATTGTATCTAACAAACTGTAAAATTCACCAATAAAATAGGCCAAAGCAATTAAAAACTTTGAATCTTTGACAAATTTGCATTCGCATCTTTGACAACTTATGCACAATTTAGATTGTAGATCACATACAATTGGATAACATGTATAATAAAAGATATGTCGAGTATTTTGCCTGTAGGACTATGTGGTACCATAATTAAAGGTGGGTAATAAAAGTTATTAAAATGGTAGAAAATTTCATGAGATAAAAAAACAAAGCTATCAAGTCAATGAAGAAAATCAATGATACAAATGTTAGCAGAAACCTCAATGACATTGTATAAACTTTAGGAAAACCTCATCATGGAGATAGTGACTTTGTCACAAGTCAGCATCTTCTAAGTGCATGTTTGGCATAACCCAAAATTAATTTTGGAGGGCAAAATGATGTTCGGACAAGTTTTCAAAATCATTTGAAAGTAACTAAAGGTTGCTTCTGACTAAAAAGTATTATTTCACTTCAAATTTAAATTTTCAAAATAAATTCATCCAAAATACATTGTACTTGAGAAATTTTACACAAATTACTCAAACAGACCCTACATCCTTACCTCCATGCCTCTAGAAAAACTGAACCTGCCTCAGGGGAAGTTATGACAATCCAATCAAATGCATTATCTGCAAGTATCAAGCATCATGGGAAGAAATGAATATGTGAAAAGTGATAGGGCACTCATAAGCAAGATATTGACAGCATGATTCATGTTGTCATGTGTTTCAGAAAAAATATCTAGGATGTAAAATATGGTAATGACTTTTTAAGTTGACAAAATCATCATACATTCATAAATGTCAAATTTCTCCATGTTACTTAGATTCTAGATAATACATCCGTAAAGGCACCCCAACCCAGTTTCTTCCAAATTATTCTATGAACACACCAACTGAATTTAATCCCAGAGAACAACCAAAAAAATCCACAGCCACACATTAGGCGAAATTCAACCCGCCTACTTATATACAAATTTATCACATCCATTGGGCCAGATTAAACCAATCCGGCATTGAATAACTGATGTCTCAGGCAGAAACATTTGTAACCTATGTGATAATAACATCAAATGATCAAGATGAAGCCCACAAAAAAAAATGAGAAAGTGATCTGCAACTCTAGAAGTCCAGCTATTCCTAAATAGGGCCAAAAAGATTAAATAGAGAAAGAAAATATTTCATGGAGAAGTTCAGCCAAATACTCCCCCTAACATAAACTGAGAGTCTGAGACAATATCAGAGCATCACCACACATGCCAACACAAACTATAAAAATTGAATGAAGACATAAGTGCAGGCACTTGAAGCTATAATCCTTCACTTTCAAGGAGACCATTGGTAATGGGAAATAGCTCATCAATCACCGATATTGCATCATCAATTTGACATTAGAAATGTCACCACTGCATCTTTATTCCCATTAAGCACACATAAATTTTATTCTAAAAATTGGCCCAATCAAAGATAATCAATCAGCTCACAAGTAATATCTTTATTGGATGAAAATGGCACGATTTAAACTTTACAAAATATTTAAATATTCATGACATGGGTTTTTCCTAAAACTTACCCCTTAATACAGAAGGAAGCCTGTCTAAATCAGGTCCCCGTGTGTGCTCAATGAGTGGAAGTTCCAAACAATTGATTTCATGTTTAGCCTGCACTCAACATTGGAATTACCAAAATAGTTTCAGCGTATGTGATCAGTCAAACCTTATGTCAACAGGAAAACCTCTGAGGCCAGTTTACAACTGTAGTTATCATTTGAATCCCCCTTTTCATTTTATTAATATGGCCTGGGACACAAGCCTAGCTAATCATCTTAGTACATGTTTGGTTCAAATTATTTTTAAGAAAATCACTTCTTCTTTTTTTCAAAAGCTCTGTCAGTAAGATTTTGAATATTAAATTGTTTTAAACACAAAATAAACTAATCCAAAAACACACTTAGTACATGGAATAAATTACAAAGGATTCCCAATGGAAGAAGATAAAAAAAATAGAGAAAATAAAAGTAGAAAATAAACACAGTATACGCAAAACAATTTGGATTATTTTGTTGAATAAACGTTAAATGTGGAATTATGTGTCAGTTTAATTCAGCAATCAATTTAGTTTTTTAATGGGTTTAATTTAGCAAACGTTAAATGTCAGTTTTATGTTTTTAAGTTTATGAAATTACGTGAGTTTATTGTGATGTTAAGTGTCTTTATTGTAGAGTTACAAGTTTTGTAATTTAAATCTATTGTTTGAATGAAAAAGTTACGACTTCTGCCTTAGTAAAAACTCCTTTGTTTTACTCTTCTCCTAACAAATTGGTATCAGAGCTATGGAGAAAAAGAGCGAGTTGGAGGTGCCACTCTTCCATGGAGATAAGGATGAAGCATTAGATTGGCTTCTCTGTTTGAAGGAACATTTTCGGAAAGAAAAAACCTGGACGGAGGACAAATGGCAGGTAGCCATGAGAAGACTCAGAGGAAGCGCAATCAAATGGTTCCGTACATGGAACTGCCGCGACTTTAATAATATGTGGAAGGATTTTCTAATGGCCTTCATAACAAAATACTTGCCTGGACGTTTTGATTTGATTAATGAAGAAGATGAAATCTTCAATGATAATGATGAAGATGAGGAAAATGATGCGGATGAAGAAGAGACCGAGATGGTGGAATTCGAGGTTGCCAACGGCAACGCATCCGCGGAGGAGTTTGACGTGTCAGAACGCGTAAGAGACGACTCGGAGAAGAAGACGGTGGAGATGACTGCGGTCGAAGAAGCTGAGATAGAAGATGAGGAGAACGAAGGAGCCGAGATCGAAGCAGAGAAGGACGGGAACGACGAGTCCATTGTCGAGGTAGAAGACTTCGTGGAACCTGAGTGTCTGGAGACAGAGTCGAAAATCGGAAAGGAGATTGAGAAGCCGAGGTGCTTGATGAAGACCGGCATGGAGGAGACCGCGAATCCGAGTTCATGTTCTGGAGAAGAGCTCGACCCCGGCGTGATGAGGTTGATGTCGGAGACCGGCATAGGCGCGGTTCGGGTTGGAAGTCAGAAGTTGGAGACTGCATTGAATTTATGGTGGAAGTGGAAGATGTCGACACCACCGAAAAGAGACCATTTCCCTGGAGGACGGTGGTCTGAGATTCCATTGATGAGGCGCGTGGAAGCTCTTCTCGATGAAGAAGAACCCGGCGATGAAGAAACTGAGAGCGGAAAAATGGAAGGTGTGATTGTGGATAGGGAACCCGGCGATGAGGAGCCTAGAGTTACTTTTATGGCGGAATCATTTTGGCTCAAGCGTAAACCAGAAGAAGATCGTGGGGTGAAATCAGAAAATGATGCGTTGAGTTATTTGCTTGATGATGGGAATCAACGGTCCTCAATGAGTGATGGGGTTACTGTGGTTGAAGAGGCCCAACGTGCTATTAATGTAGCACATGTTGAATCTGAAATTATTAAAATTGGCATAGGTGTTGTAAAACTAATGGGACGTTATAGTGATACAGATACTGATCAGTATGATGACTTGTGTGATGATCATACGTGTAAGAATGGATGTGGAAGTATATCGGAGGATGAGGTCGACGGAGAAAAATTCAAGACTGTCTATCTTCCACCAATGAAGGAACCGCCGGACAAGAAAAAAATTTGAAGAAAGGAGTGCAACATGTGAAGCTGAATATGTAGCTGCATCTTGGTGTGTTTGTCATGCAATGTGGCTCAGGAATTTCATCCGGGATCAAGTAAAGGAAGGAAATGTGGGGCTAACACACGTGACCAGTCAAGAGCAAGTCGCGGATATCTTCACGAAACCGCTACCGACGGTACTCCTTGACAACTACAAGAAATTGATCGGCATGAAGGATGCAGAAGCATTTAGGTTTACGGGGGAGTTTTGTTGAATAAACGTTAAATGTGGAATTATGTGTCAGTTTAATTCAGCAATCAATTTAGTTTTTTAATGGGTTTAATTTAGCAAACGTTAAATGTCAGTTTTATGTTTTTAAGTTTATGAAATTACGTGAGTTTATTGTGATGTTAAGTGTCTTTATTGTAGAGTTACAAGTTTTGTAATTTAAATCTATTGTTTGAATGAAAAAGTTACGACTTCTGCCTTAGTAAAAACTCCTTTGTTTTACTCTTCTCCTAACAGATTATGTATCAATTCGATCACAGCAAAATGTAGTCACCTTGATGGAGTTTCAATATAATGGTGTTGGAATAAAACATAAAATATGAATGGATTACAGATTTCGGTAGGTATTTTGGGACAAAAGTAGATGTTGGAAGCAAAAGGTGATGGGAGATGAACAATTTAGTTTTTTGTTTAAAAATTGATGATGGAATTGACAAACTTACTGAAACAGTGATATGAAAAAAATAAGCATGTTGAAGCTGTTCTACGGCATCGTCCATGTACAAAAGAAAGGCCATGAAGAGCAACAACAAGTGTTCATTAACTAACTTAAGCTCTTAGACCGTTTAAGTAGATTTCTAAAGGATCTACTTAATTAATTAATGGATCAAGAATTCATTGCTGATCGGTCATTAACTTCAAACAGGAGAATGTTAAGTAAATTGTATTCAACCGATCCCTGAACTCATGTACATTTTTGAACAACCTATTGTGATCTGGACACATGACATAAATTTTGCGACGTAAAATATATTCGATTATTAGAAATTATGAATATGGATATTTAGCAATCTAAATCTTTGTCTTGACGTTTGCCGTTATATTTAATACATTCTCGCTTTAAGAGAACGTGGTTTAAAGATAAAAAAAAAATGCGCAAAATAATAATAATAAGGCACGGAAATTTTGAAGAAAAATAAAAAGGAAAGCAAGATCAATGAAAACATTACATATTGACATTCATTTCAGCCTTTAATCAAACACATACACGACGGAATGGAACTCGGTTCATATAAACACACAACATACTCTGAAGTCTGAACTGAATAGGTTAAAGAGAAAACGAGGAAAGACATGTCCGGATGCAGGAAAAGCTAGCAGAAAAATTATAATGAGAATCAGAAAACACAGCATAACTAGTTTGAGTTTGAGCCTAAAAAATAAAGCGCATTGTAATGGTAGCAACGCAGTGAAAACGAATCGCAGCAGGGAAAGGTTAAGTGAGTATATAGAAGTGAGTACCAAAGCAGAGATGAGCTTGCCGTTCTTGCCACGCTCTCTGGTGACGACGACTTTGGGCGTTGAATTCGAAGTGGAAGCCGAAGTGAATGTGGAGACGGAATCCGTGGCGGAAGCAGCGGCGGTTCGTTGAGGACCGGGAAAGATTCTCCGGTTTGATTGAAGAGGAGAAGGTGGAAGAGAAAGAGGAGACACAGAAACCTGAGGCATTGTTGAAACGTGTTGGGCAACGGAACCTATCCACGGTCCAGCTGTTATCACATCAATGGGAATGGCCGTGGCCCCTTGCTTATTTTAATTTCACAAATATCTACCGACAAAATAGCTTTTAAAGTCATAATCATTATGATTACTAACTTTAGGATTACGTAGCACGTGGCACATGGTGGTTGGGCGGTGTCCAAATGCTTGCCGACCAAACAGCCATCCACGCCGTCTGTTTCGATCAGTGGTATTATGGTAATGATGATTAACGGTGGACATTTGCGTCCCAATCTCCCAACGCCATCCTAACCTGCTTGTTATACCTCTGTGCCCTACCTCCCAACAACAACTAACGTCGTTTCGTCGCGCGTCATACAGTTGCAGTTTACAAACCGTTCAACTTGTTATTTGATTAATACAGTTGCAATTTTTTATCCAAAAAATAAAAATAAAAAAATACAGTTGCAATTTACAAACCGTTCAACTTGTTCTTTAATTAATCAGGAGAAACGATGTGAGCATAATGCAACAGTGCATACAAACAGCAGTTGAGCTGGAATGTCGGGCAAAACGAGGCTGCACAGTTCACACATTCAATTGGACATATAAATATTAGGGTAAATCATCACTTTGATTCCCCAAATTAATGTTTTAAAATTTCTTGTTATAACATGGGTTGTGGAGGAAGACTTAAATCTAGTGTGAAAACTGAAAAGAATTCCTCAAAGCCAAATCAGATCAACGCCATATTCTTGCCGCAACCCAACTCCACTACTTTCGGTTAGCAAGAGCCCAAACGACTAAAAACAAAAAGACCAACACCGTGACATTTATTATAAACACTTATTTAGTGAAAAAAAACCTTAAAAAAATTCAATGCAATACACTGTTATTTTTAAGGAACCAAATGAAGGGTTTATTTTGAATAATAATGTTTTCTGCGTACTTTTTTTGATTGCTTTAAACTTTAATCTTTATTTTAATTTTTATAATGGAGTACCTGTATTTTCAGCATTTCTTTACTTTATTGTAATTAATAGATTTACTATTCAAAAAACTATTTCTTTAAAGGTTTATTTTGTTTGAATTTTTATTATTTAAAAAAAATAAAGGGTATTAAGTATTTTTTCAACTTTATTATTACCTTTTGATATTGTTCCTTAGCGAAATAAAAAATATTTTAATAAAATGAAATGATAATATACCAAAATAAAATTTGTATTTACTTGAAATGAGAATACTTAATGACTTATTAATCGATTGTTTGCAATTGCAGTTAGTTTTCCAACTACGCTTGCAAATTTTTGAATTGCATTTATCGATTTTTTAATAAAACATACTTTTTGTACAGTGACGTTCCTCTGGCATATTTGCTTACGGATCCGATTGAGTAATAGTTTGTGAAAGTTCAGGGAAATGGGGCGCAACTTCGTTTGATGATGGGCATGCATTCTTTTAAGACGTGCTAGTGGCCATAAACAAATCACAAGCCCTTCCATGTTTTAGTCTGACTCCAAAATCATATAATAAAAAAAAAATTGCTGAAAGCGGAAACAACTAACATTGTTTACTTTAAAATGACAACTTTCTCAGATTCCATAATGCTTTTTAAAGAATGTAGGCATTTAAATGATAGATGGTCTACCAAAGACCCCTCTTCCTTTTATGATTCGTGTCTTGGTGATTTGCATCTCTATATTGGAAAATGCCACACAATATTAATATTATAACAATTGTACCCTTTCTATATTTTAGTCTGACTCCCACATAAAGATGGCAACTATCTCAGATTCCATGATGCTTTTGAAGCGTATAGGCAGCTAGATGATAAATCATCGTCTACCAAAGCCCGCTTTATGATTGGTGATTTGCTTCACCCTATAGCAAAATGCCACATAATATTAAAATTATAACCCGATTAAGATTTGGTCCTAATATCAAATGTGAGTTTTGCTCCATAACGATGGCATTTCAAATAATTCAAACGATGGCGTTTTAAACAGCACAGAAAACTTCGCTGATAAAGTCGCGGGCTCTTATTCTCTCACATGTATCCAACTAATCATGACATATCAGAAAAAATTGATTGGTTGTTAGAATGTTAGTTTTCTATTAGTCAGTTTTGTGAGTTATAACTTCTTTTCCCTCCTTCGTTTCTCTATTATTTACTGAAGTTGAGATGTATATGTATCTTAATCACTATGTCAATGAAATTGAGTATTCATTTTTTCTCTCCTCAAGAATGAGTTTCTTGAAGCTATCTTAATATGGTATCAGAGCTAGCCAAACTCTGATATCTGCTTCAATTCGATCTTCTTTCTTCGTTATGATAGTTTTCTTTCTTTTCTTTCAAGAATTGTCATGGAAAATTTGTTTGAATTCCTCACAAATTCATTACATCCATTAATCCTCCATCCTAATGAGAATCCTTCATAAGTCTTGGTCACACCACCTTTGAATGGAAGAAACTACCATTCTTGGGCGTGAGCTATGTCCATGGCTTTGCGCTCCAAGAATAAACTTGGGTTCATTAATGGCACTGTTACAGTACCAGATCCTGAAAGCGATGAATTTGAGGTGTGGGAGCGCTGTAATACTACAGTTATGGGATGGATCCATCATTCCATTGCTTCGACGATTGCACAATCTATTTCGTGGATAAAAAATGTGTCTGATGTGTGGAAGGACTTTAGCGACAGGTTTTCACAATCAAATATGTTTTGGATCTCGGATATACAGGAAGAAATATACAAATTACACCAAGGAGACAAAGGTGTAACAAAATACTTCACTCAGCTGAAAACATTATGGGACGAGCTTGAGAATTTGAAGTCGATTCCCTCACTTTCAGCCAATTGTTCATGTGGTGCGTTTACTCAGATGTGAACCTACCGTGATCAAGATCACACTATCAGGTTTCGTAGAGGTTTAAATGACCAATACACTCAGGTATGCTCCCAAGTAATGATGATGGAGCCTCTGCCTAATGTCACAAAGGCTTTTGCCTTAGTCACTCAATGTTGTCAGATTAGCAAGTGTACTAGTCAAACAAGTAATAAAATGATGAGTAAAGATCGTTCCCACGAGGAATTGTGTCAAGCACTGACTCACCAAATATTGTTAAGTTGAATCAACTAAAAGATTATAAATTGCATTTATTTCTTGTCACCAGAAATTAAATTTGAATAAAATTAAAGAATTGATAAACAAATAAAATGTGAATATAATTTAAAACCAGTAGTCAGATGTCAATTTCCCTCAAGAATGAAATTATGGATGAACCAATTTCCATGATGAATATCTACTATGTAATGTTGATCAACCTTTTTCTTATCATCAAGATGTAATGTCTTACTATCTTGATAGACACATTAATTAGAAACCCTAATGTCTTGGTGATTCTTTTCTTAATACATGCATTAATTACTAAGGTCTTAAGATCACATCAGAAATCCTAGCATCAATGTCTTGACTATAGAACTTTGATGATGAAATTGTCAAATATAAAAACAATGTAAACATGTATGTTCTACACTACTCCTTAACATGAAGAATTAATCAAGACAACTTCATACAAATCACATAATAGATAAACAAGATATCTAATTAACCATTCATAAATTCAAACTTGAGTTCCATTGAATCAGACTACAAAGAACTCTACTCAGACATAATTGAAATAAAAACAAAGGAAGAAGAAAGATCAAACTCCATTGTCATGATAGTAAGTTTTCAATCTTCAAGTGCAATTACATAGGAAACTAACTAATACAAGAACTAAGTCCTAAAGAATTTGGAAAGTAAGAGAGAGAAGTCAGATCAGAGGATCTGATATTGGAGAGAGAGATAGAATCAGATATGTGACAAATGTGAAGGCCCTTGCCTTTTATAGTGTTACAAATTATAACTGAAAACTAACATGGGCGCTAAAACGTTCATGAATAGGCGTTTTAGCGTCCATGTTTGACGGATGCCCAACTGCTTTTAACTAACTTGGGCGCTAAAACGTGAACTGTTGAACGTTTTAGCGTCCATGTCTGTGAATACTCAACTGCTTCCAACTGACTCCAACGCTAAAACACTTGGTTTGGACGTTTTAGCGTTCGAGACCAAAGTCTTTTTCCAACAGCAGGGCGCTAAAAAGTTTGATCAGGAAGTTTTAGCGCCCAAGACCAACAACTTTTGTCCTCAGATTGCAGCAGCGCGCTAAAACGTTCTATGTGGACGTTTTGGCGCTCAGCACCAGCAACTTTTGTCCTTCGTTTACAGCAGCGCGCTAAAACGTTCTGTGTGGACGTTTTAGCGCTCAACACTTAGGCATTCACTTTTTCTCCAGAATCTTCTTCTTTCTTTTTGCTGCTCCTTAAACTTCATTTCCCTACAAGACAGTGTAATTTTTCAACAAAGCTTTCAGAACTTGTACTTGAGGGAATTCCAGGACATTAACCTCTTTTTCATCCAATTAATCACACAAATTGATACTAATTCATGCTGAAAAACCTGATGAACTAGGGGTTTATCACTTAACAAGAGCATCAATTCTCTTCTGAAGATCTAACTAATGGTTCGACAACTGCACAGATGTTTGCAGCAGTAGCAGAAGGCACAAATAATCGAAGAGGTGGCTATAGTGGAGGACAAAATTGAAGAGGCAGAGGTGGATATAATGGAGGTATAAGGGTGCCAGGAAAGTTATGTACTCATTATAATCGCACTAACCACACGGTGGAGACTTGTTATTTGCTCCAAGGCTTCCCACCTGGTTACAAACGTAATGCTCCTCATGCTGCAAACAATGTATCAGTTGCAAAATCAGAGAACAATGTGTGCATTCAAAACTCACAAGCTCAAGCTTCTTCCACGAATCTCATATAAGATCAATACCAGCAAATTTTGAGCCTTCTGTATAAAACTACTATTATTGAGGTTCTTGAAACTATCCACACAACCAATGCCATTCAAACCTACAATCTGAAAACAGATAATGGAGTCATAGGTAAACATGTTATTAAGTGGGTAGTAGACACCGGTGCCACTGAACACATTACTTTTCTTCATTATAATTTCTCTTTTTTTTTGTAAAATTAGTCCAATTAGCATAAATCTGCCTAATGGATCCAAAGTCATTGCCTCAAAATCTAGTAATGTGCATATCTCGTCCACACTTACATTGACAGATGTCCTATTTGTTCCTGACTTTTCATGTCAATTTGATTTCTGTCACCAAAGCTAGTTATTTCATTTCCATGTTCCCTTGTTTTCATTAATTCTGTGTCTCATCAAACAAAAAAATATGAGTTGCTGGACGACGATTGGTTCAGTTGAGCATAGAGAAGGATTATATGTGATATCCACTCCAACACCAACATACCAAACTTTACCCTCAACACAGAAACTAGTTTCTACCTGTAATAAGTCCATTAATAAATCTGCTTCTTCTGATATTGCCTTGTTATGACATTGTAGATCGGGGTATGTATCAAAGAATGTAATACATGAGATATCTTTACGATGTCCTTTTATCCCTTCCCAGCATATTGATCCTTGTGATATTTTCCATATGGCTAAGCAACATAGACTTTCCTTTCCCATCAATAACACTAAAACAAAGGCAACTTTTGAATTACTTCATGCAGACATATGGGCTTTTTTTCTGTTACTTCCATTCATGGCCACTGTGAGGTATATCAGGATAGTTCTTATGCGCTCCAAAGGTGAAACCAGAAAGCATTTGACTCACTTTATAGCATATATACACACTGACAAAGACCCAGAATTTTTTATGACCGAAATGTATGCAACAGAAGGCATTTCTCACCAAAAGAGTTGTGTAGAAACTCTACAACATAATGTAGCTGTAGAAAGAAAGAATCAACATATTTTAAATGTTGCACAATCACTATTTTTCCAAGCTAAAATCCCAGACACAATATGGTGTTTTGCTATGACACATGTTGTACGTATAATCAATAGGACTTGCACCATGGTTCTTGCCAAGAAGACACCCTACAAAATGTTGCATAGAGTACCACAAACTTTTGTTCATTTTTGAATCTTTGGATGCCTCAAGTATGCCTATACGCTGGTTTCACAGAGAACCAAATTTTTTTCACGAGCTCCCAAATTTGTCTTTTTGGGAAATCAAGAAGGCACCAAGGGATACATGTTCTATGATTTACACAAGTCTTCCTCTCAAGAAATGTCGTTTTCTACGAGGATCACTTTCCTTTCAAAGATTCTGTAAGTTTTATTGTTGACTCACAATCTAACATTGATGCCATCATTCCTCAATCTCCATAACCTATCTTTGATGACCATTTCCCACCTATTCCCCACTCTCCACAACCTGACATAACCCCACCTACACAACCACTACTCGATAACTCCAACATTCTTGAACCTTAACCTCATACAAAACCACGTCCAATCCATGAACCTGCTCCTTTTCATCGGTCATCACGAACTCGTGCTCCTCCCAAATACCTTCAAGAATATCACTATAGTCTCCTTGCTTCTCAATGAATTCCATCGTCGTCAGGAAATTGCTTTTCTGTTAGTCATTCAATTTATCCTTTATTTGATGTTCTTGACTATAATCGTTGTTCCTCTTCATACAAGCATTTTTGTTTAAACACTATTATTGATTCTGAACCATGAAACTACTCCCAAGCCGTCAAATCTCCTCAGTGGTAGAAGGCTGTGGAAGCTGAATTATCAGCTTTGACACTCAACAAAACATGGCACGTTGTTGATCTACCACCTGGCAAAACTCCCATCAGGTGTAAGTGGGTGTACAAGGTGAAATACAAATCGAATGGTGAGGTGGAATGGTATAAGGCACGACTTGTTGCTAAGGGCTTTACGCATTTGGAAAGGGTTGATTATTTTGATACCTTCTCCCCAGTTGCTAAAGTCACTTCATTATGTGCTTTCCTTGCCATAACAGCATCCAAAGGCTGTTTACTTGAGCAACTTGACGTATAATACGCTTTCTTTCATGGGGATCTTCATGAGGTGTACATGCAGCTATCTCCAGGCTGCACACTGAGAAACCGAATCAAGTATGTCGTTTTACAGGTTGAAGCATGCTAGTAGACAATGGTATAGTAAGTTGTCTTCTGCATTGCTTTCATTGGGTTACATTCAAGGCTAAGCTGACCATTCTATGTTTGTTTTGAAGACATTATCCTTATTCACAATATTGCTTATGTATATGGATGGTATTGTCCTATATGGTGACTCTTCTCTGAAAATTTAGTGTGTAAAGGATTTTCTGCATTCAAAGTTTCGAATTAAGGATTTAAGTCCTTTGATGTTTTTCCTAGGCCTTGAGATGTCTTAAACTTAGAAAGGCATCTTGCTTAATCAACGCAAATATGCCTTGGATATTCTCTCTGATATGGGCTTCCTTGCTTTTAAGCAATCTCAGTCTCCAATGGATGTCATTCTAAACTAAGCCTAACCTAAGGTGTTCTTGTTGATATATAGGCATTTGGTCTCACCACCACTCGACCTGATCTTTGTTATATTGTTCAGCAACTAAGCCAATTTGTGGCGGCTCCTCTTGATACTCATCTTTGAGCAGCCCATCGTGTATTGAGATACATTAAACATGCTCCAGTTGTTGGTATTTTCTTCCCAACATACCATAATTTTTGTATCCGTGCTTTTGTAAATGCTGATTGGGCATGTTGTCCTGATACGCGTCATTCAATCATCGATTTATATGTTTTCATCGGGATATCCTTGATCACTTGGCATTCTAAGAAATAAACTATGGTCTCCAGGTCCTCCTCCGAAGCAGAATATCAAGCTTTGGCGTCATTATCTAGTGAGCTTCAGTGGCTACAACACCTACTTAATGATTTTCACCTTCCTTGGGATAAGGCATACAATTGGACTGTTCGGTTGGTACATATATACAACCATACAGGGAAGGTAATTAATTTTTGTGCGAACTGGAAGCTAATCTTACTCTGGAGAGATTGGATCAAATGAATTTTATTTTATTTCATTCTCCTCCTTCCTGAAATTAAATGATTGTATGTTTTTGACTTTAGCTCTATGCAGTGGGCTATACACTCTTCAATGTAGTGTTTTTTTTTTTTTTTTTGCTGCTTGTTTGGGGCATAGCCCCACATACCCAAAAAATTAAAAATTAAATGCAAGTTGGGCTAAATCAAACCAAGTACAGTTTGACACCATTTATATAATTTTTTATAATTCTGAATTAGAAAAATAAAATTCAATATCCAATCAATTAAGTTTAAGCTTTTTTTTTTTAATATATTCATCATTTATTAATTATTTGACTAGTTCGGTTCAAGTACTCTTGAACTCATTTTTGGAGAAATTTTTTTTCAATATCATTTGCTCCATTTTTTTCTGATTAAGCAATACAAGTTTCTTACCACTTGAACGAATTACTATCGTAATTAAGTCAACAAAGCAAAATCAAATCAGCCAACCGAATCCATATTTTATGAATTGTTTCAATAGATTAGACAGATCAACGAATCAACTAAACTCATTATCATCCCCAACCAAACAGTCGTAAAAAAAAAGTACTTTAGTTCAAGGACAAGTTTAGATAAGAAAAATCACTCCCGCACATAAGATCGAAGAAAATCACGAATTTATGTTAGGATTATATATGGCTTATTAAAGAGAAAAATATGAAAAATTGAAAATCAAAAAATTGAAAATCAAACCTTTATGTTAAGTTCATGTTGAAAATTAATTATACCATCAATAGGTTTTAGTTTTAGCATGCATGCTGATATAAATGTTGGACATTCTCTGCCGTTTTCTTACGACGTTTCTTTACGTGAATTTCAATAATTATGTGGTGCAAATTTCTCCATAAAAAGAAAAACAATCCTATACAAATTGAAAAGAGAGTAAGGAATTATTTTAAGGGGCCAGAAGGCTTTCCCTGCAACCAATAATCATGATTGCAATGCAGTAGACCTGAGGTGGAATTATTTGATTGTATTCTATTTTTTTTTTCTTAAAACTATTTTGTAGAATAATAAATAAAATGAGTGTTTTTCGTAATTGTTTTTTTTTAAAAAAATAAAAATAAAAACAGAAATAACTAAAATATATTCTATAAATTTGGTTTTAAAATCTAAAAAATAGATATGATTTTTAAAATTATTTTTACAAAACAGACATTATCAAATAAGTTTTTTTTCTGAAAATTAAAAGTAAAAAAAAAAAATTCAAAATGGCCCATGCAACTTATCAAAATGGATGATATTTCAAGCCTAAACAGACTTAAGGGGAAAAAAACCTTTTAATCGCATGCAACTAATATACCGGCATACTTAATATAATTAAAACGCCAATTTCGAAAAACAATTAAAACGTGAGCTAGAGTAAACGCAAGCATACTTAATATAATTATTTCAGTGAACAAGTTTTAAGTTACTCATTTCTCCTACGAGTCTAAACGAATGATAAATTGAATTTCTACAGTGCTACCCCAGGTTGTCAAAATTCAACTCCACTCCACAATTAGGAGGGAATCTTCAGAATTCAACAGATCATGCAAGTTACAAGGGAAAGAAGTCAATTTGCTCGTTCAAGGCGTGCTGCTGTTGTGATAGCTGCTACTCCTGCACTGCACCTCATTCAGCTTACTTGTTGTTGGTGGCCTCCATAAACAGGGTAAGCCCCATAAGCAGCAGCAGCATATATGCTCGGGTCATGAGAAGGTGGCAAAGCATATCCATAACCATCATAAACAGGCCCACCATAATACGCTCCACTCCAAGGATTGCCGAAGTCCATTCTAAGCTGCTAACCAATGATATATAAATTAAGTTAGAATCAATCGCAAATGCAATTTGATGACAGAGCATGAAGACAACCCGGTGTTCTAGTAGTTACCATAAAGTCTGTCTTTTTTGGGGAGGAAATGAAGCAATGAAAAACAAGAAAGTTATCTACGATTACTTCTTATTAATAGATCAACTTTTAATTGATAAAAAATAATGATTTAATTTATTTTATAAAATGATTTAATTTTTGCTCACTTTTAATCATGTGTTTTAGACATGTGGGCGGCGATTAGTCCCCCATCCGGTTTTGGAGGAAAAAATTTGATGAAAATTTTGGTGATCCCTCTTGCAAGGAGAAAAATTTTCTTCCCCTTTTATCCATATCTTTTACTCTTTTCTCCTTTTTACCCTCCCCATTTGTGAGAAGGGAGCATTGAGTGAGTGGTGCTTTCGGAGTACCCAAATTCGAGCTCATCTTCAGTATGTGCTTTCGGAGTACCCAAATTCAAGCTCATCTTCAGTACAACAGTAGTATGTACTACTGCCATTGAAAATTAAACACTTGTCTTTAATATATTGTTTTTTCTTTTCCATGTCATCAATCAACATAGGTGTTTAATTTTTATTGGAGGGATGTAAAGAAAAGCGGGTAAGACAGTACTATTGTAGAAATTTCTCCCAAATTCCTCTCATCTTGGAGGAGATTTTTACAAAATAATAATAATAAAAAAAAAATTATATGATGTAATATCATTAAATGAGTTTGACTTTCAGTATTTATTATTACAGTGAATTCATTTTAATGATGTGACAACACAGATAAATGAATTGACTATATAAATTAAGGGGAGGTTATATTTACTACTTTTTTTCTTATTACCTCTTACTACCAAATCTTAACTGTTGATTTCCGTCAATCTAACGATTACAATTAGATTGGCAGAAATCAACGGTTAAGATTTGATAGTAAGAAGTAGTAAGAAAAAAATGTAGTAAGTATAACTTTTCCTTATAAATTATACTGAAAATTTATTAAAATTAAACAAATAGAACCGTTTTCTTTAAACTAAGTGTAGTATATGGTTGGGAGGTTCAACACTTATTACTCCTCCTGTGGATTGTATCCCCCGGTCAGTCTCCCTAGGTTATGTCCTGATAGCTAGTTTGGATTTTGTTTTGATTTCCCAATGTATCCAAAAAAAAAAAGTGTAGTATATGGTATTACTAGGTGAGTTATTGGTCATTAAATGGCACTTGTTCATGAAGATTAATGGGCCTGACAAAAATGGCAACGCTAATGTGTATCTCTGTATGTGCGTGAGAGAGACATTACCTGCTTATTTGCTGGATTGCGACCCCAAGAAAGACGAACTGTTTGCTTGCCAATCATTGTACCATTTAACTTTTGCAACGCCTCTTCAGCATTATTTCTAGAAAGGTTGTTCAGAATAATGTAGTAATCACATTGACATTGAAAACCATGTTATCTATGAATATGCAAAGATTTGACAGGGCCAGAACTTTTACCTGTTTGCAAATTGTACAAAACCACATCCTTTTCCAACTGGTATCTTAACAGACACTATCTCACCATACTGGGAAAATGGCTGCCTAAGATCTTCAGCTGAAACATTAGGGTCAAGTCCTCCAACAAATATCTATAATGAATCATCCATAGAAAAATAGTGACAAATCGATTGAATTAAAAAAAAAGAAAAAAGAAAAAAGAAACTGATAAAAAGCTGAAAGCTTACAGTTGTGTTTGTAGAATCAGCTTCAGATTGGCTGGATGTGCCATTTGACTGGCCTCCTATACAAAGAAACAGATTAAATCAACACCCAACAGGTAGTGATATTTCAGACTTTTGCAGCAGCATGCAGCGGAAAGACAAATGCAAAAGTTAAACTTCAGAGATATATTACCAAAAACAAGCTTAATGGGTCAAAAACCGCAACAGGGGAAACTGAATGAATAAACGGATTCAAGGAGTTTTATGATTTAGTTACTTGCATACTCAGGAACAAATAACATCATGCCACACACACACCAAATGGTAAATGACATAATAATTGCCATTTCAAGCGATTTATTCATCTAAAAAGACATGGCAATACCAATTTTCAAAAAAAATTGAAATCATCACTTAAACCATTTACGTGCAATAAAAATGTAGTTCCTGAAGTTCATCAGTGTTCTGGGATCGAACAATCAGTTACATGAAACAGACCAACTGAAATTTGAGGGCGAAATAGGTTTTCTTTTAATGGAATGTATAATATCCTTTTCTTTAAAGAGTAAAATTTCCAATATCAAAGCTAGTTATGTGATTTGGCATACCTTGTTGATAGCCAGACGATTTCCTAGGAGTTGCAGCACCGATACGCATGGGCCTGCTAGAGCAGTACACACCATTCATTTCAGTCATAGCCTGAGACCTCTCATTATCATCTCCAAACCTGACGAAACCATAACCCTTTGAACGGCCAGTATTGGCATCAAAAACAACTTTTGCAGCTTTAACAGAAGGGTATCTACTAGAAAAAGTTTCATGCAACATGCTATCCGTAACATCTGCAGCTAAATCTCCTACAAAAATAGAAAGATCAGGAACATTATCTGAACGCTTGTCTCCTGTGCTAAATGTAGCCCAGTTCAGGCGGAAAGGTTGCTCCGTGTTAGGCATCACAATTCCAGCAAAATTCTGTAAGACTTTCTCAGCTGTCCCATGTGAATAGAATTCCACAAATCCATAACCCTCTGATAGACCAGTCTGCTTATTGCGAATAACCTTAATGGAGGAAATCTGCAAAAATGTATGACATAAGATACATTAGTTGATCCATCTTAAGCAATATGCGAAGCTCAGGAATCATTTTCTATCATGACAAGCTAAGCTTTCGAAATTCAGATTATTGTTCATCAAACTAGAATGGCAGAGAAACAGCACTGAAGTCACCTTGTTTAGTTAAAACTAGCTACCAGCAATAACAGCACCTGAAGCTTTCACCTTCTCCTCAATCCTAAACTATTCATACTTTAAATGATACTAAAGCAAAATCTCATCACATAGAAGAGTTCAGACTTATGCACAGAAATGCTAAAACCCTCACAGTTCCCATCTATTTTAATTTAAATTTGAATCAAATGGTACCACCTAAATTGATGCATGACATGAAAAATCAGAAAATGAAATCATGGATGGGATAATTGAACAAGTAAGATGCAGAAAAAACGACTGAAAAAGGATTTATCTTATTTTCTAGATAAGAGTAGAAAGTTAGACGATGAAGCATACTTTTCTTACTTTTTAGTTACGAATAGAGCACTTAGGTTTGAACCTATAACCTCATTTAAATTATCCATGCCGTTCATTTCCAGCCAATATTGATCCTCTAATGTAGGAAATAAAAACTCTCATGTCTTATTTTACATGAGCACTTTTGTGAAAAGATCTCGGTCAACCAAAACTTTTAATGATAAATCAACTATCAACAATCAAGATGGCCCTTTTCTCTTCTCAAATCCTTTCAATCGCTCTCTATTGGACAGCCAATGCTTGAAACCCAGCCAAACCACCACGTAACCATCATATCTCTGTCCATCAAATTTCTAATCAACCATCATCCAGACGCCACCTCCACCTAAAACCCCAGCCTCCTCACCCAAAGAGCCACCCAAACCAGTTGCAGGGGAAACAGATATGGGCATGGGTTTGGGACAGTAGCAACGGAACAGCGACTCCAGCTGCCAGCGGGGAGAGCTTGATTGCAGTTGTGGTTGGGGAGTACAGTGGCATGGTGGGTGCATAGAAGTGGGGGCTATTTGGGTGAGGAGGCCGGGATTTAGGCCGCAGATCATTTTAGTTAATGACCATTGATTTGTTATTATAAATTATGAATGATTGAGGTCTTCTCATGTCTCGTGATCATTTTAAAATATGACATGAGATAATCCATTACCTCAATGTAACATTTTATCCTTATGTATAAAATTTCGAACACTAGGTCAAGTAACACAGCCAATTTATTCAAAGCTTGAAACCCTAGCCTCCTCACCCAAAGAGCCACCCAAACCAGTTGCAGGGGAAATGTATATGGGTATGGGTTTAGGACAGCAGTCGTGGAACAGCGACTCCAGCTGCCAGTGGAGTGAGCTTGATTGCAGTTGTGGCTGGGATGTGCGGTGGCATGGTGGCTGCAAGTTTTTCGGTTGACTGCATAGAATTGGGGGCTATTTGGGTGAGGAGGCCGGGATTTGGGCCGCGGATCATTTTAATTAATGACCATTGATTTGTCATTAAAAATTACGAATGATTGAGGTCTTCTCATGCCTTGTGATCATTTTAAAATATGACATGAGACCATCCACTACCTCAATATAACATTTTATCCTTATGTATAAAATTTTGAACACAAGGTCAAGTAACACAGCCAAATTCAGAACTTGAAAATTTTATTTCCGGTTCCCTTCTCAATTTCAGTTAGAAACGTTTGAAAGAAAAGCAAAAGTGGTAAGGAAAGGTAAAGGTTGGTATCCACTATTCCCTTTCCATTCTTCAATATTTAATTCCCAATCAATCAATCATTAATTGATTAACAGATTATTGACCTTTTAATTACACAGTAATCAAAGGGAAAAAAATATCCTTTCATTGTTGAGGTTGACACACATCCTAAATCAAGCATGCAACCTTATAGAACATTGTAACATAGCAAAGCCAACCCAACCCAACTTTCAAACCTGTGTGTTTTATAAACTAGAGAGCTCGTAACTCAATTAAGACTCAAGCTTCCGAAATTAAATTACTCAGGAAGTAACCAAAAAAATTCTTGAAATCCACTAATAAACAAGTAATTATGCATTTGTATGCGGTGTGTCTTAAAGTGTAATGCCAAAAAAAAGTTTATATATATATATATATATATATATATATATATATATATATATATACACACGTAAAAGTATGAAATTAGGACCTCGCCGGTGGAAGCGAAACAGCGGTGGAGATAATTTTCATCCATCCAATGATGCAAATCGCCGACCCAAATCGTCTTGTTCTCGGCGCTGGATCCCTGATGCTGATGAGGCACGTGCGGCACCTGCTGCTGGTATTGGTGGTAAGGCAGGTAGGGCTGCGGTGGCGGCGGCGCGTAATGTTGAGGCGGCAACATGTGATGCTGCATTACCATGGCCGCCGCTGGGTATTGCATCGGCATCCACTGCTGCGGCAGTGCCACTGGCTGCGGTGGCGTTTGCTGTTGCCGTTGCTGATTCTGCTCCGTTGGTTGCGAATCAGAGCCGTTCGATGATTGCATCTTCTTGTATAATTGTTATCACTTTTTTTTTTGTTCCGTTCTAGTAATGACTATGGCAGATTCAGAAATGAAAAGCCAAAACCAAAAATAAATAAAGAAAAAAAAAATTGTGCGTGAGGGAGAGAGAAGTTGAATCTGGATTTTTAAAGAAAGAGAAAGAGAGGTCGCGGCAAGGGTCTAAGAAGATGATTTATGTTGGGATGATGAATGCGGTTGTCGTTTTGACCATTGGATTAGGTGATGGCCTTCGATATGAACCGTGGGATCTACTAATGAGGGATATGCATAACACTAGTGTCATACTATGGTTTGCTTCCCTCTCTCTCCAGGATCCGCCGCCACCTCTTCCCTCACTCTCAGTAGATTTTTGTTTTATTTATTTATATACTTTATTTGTTAGTTTGTGCACCGTGCAGGTGCAGTGCAGGTTAGTACTTTAACCTCAGTTCACCTTTTTTACTGCTTCAGTGATGTTGGGATGTTAATGACAGGAAAAATAAAGGAAATGTAAAACTGCCTAGGAATCAGATGACTCAGATTTACATCAAACTCAGGCGTACTAGGAAATTCTCTATCAATTTGCACAATTTTGTTGCAATTTCCTTTATATAAACTAATAGGGTTTTATAAGAGTTATGTTGTAGGAAAAGTGATTGTGTTATGTTATAGAGATTCGTTTTGCGTGCCGAAGTTTTTTTTTTTTTTTTTGCTACGGGCCCCATAAAATGTTGTGTGTGTAGGAAACTTTTTGTGGTCATGTTAAATGATAGATGATAAACCCAAACTAATATTATGAGGTTACTTCTCTGTGTTTTTTTTATCTAAGTAATTAGATATGATAAGTGCAATTTTAAAAAATAATTATTGGAATAATTCACTTTTTAAACATATAATCAAATTAATGCTATCAATTTTGCACATTAATTAAACAAGATCAATTACACATGTTAGTGATGTTGGACTCACAATTGTAAATTTACAAATCTTGCATGATTGACGTGGGAGACTAATCTTATATAATCAACCTACGAAACTTACTACGTGACATAATAATAACTATGCAATGTCCAAGCTCGCATTAAAAAAAAAAAAAGAAATTCATACAAAATGCACACGGAACTAATCATGCACATTTATAATGTATGATATATTGACAGCATGAGAGTATCCTATTAAAAACACGCGAGATTAATACCAAATATTTTTAGGCAAGATTAATTATTTTAGGAGGAAGGTTATACTTATAACTTATTTTCTCTTATAATTATATCTTAACCGTTAATTTCTGTCAATCAACGGTTATTTTTTATTTCAAATTAATAATTTATTAATGAATTTGATTTGTGAAAATAATAATCGCTGATTGGCGGAGATCAACGGTTAAGATATGATTGTAAAAAATTGTAAACGAAAATAGGTTATAAGTATAACATTTCTCTTATTTTAATATGGTAAAGTGTATTATTTCAAAAGTTTTATAAGTATAACATTTCTCTTATTTTAATATGATAAAGTGTATTATTTCAAAAGTTTCTTTTTTAAACTAGGTTAGTACCATCATTTGGCCGAGAAATTAAATATCTAATTTTAGGGAAAAGTTCACCATGTGCTTTAAAATCACCTATGCTCATGCAGTTTGTAAAAAATAAAAATTCACAAAGACATTTGTGATAAAAATATATATCTTTTGCAAATGATAATATGTGATAAAAAAATAATTTTTGAATAAATCACATGAGCATTGGTAAATTTCTCCCCTAATTTTATTAAAACAATTTAGGAAAGAGCGCAATCTAAATAAAATAAAAAAGTAAAAGGCGGCATGAATAAGATAAGAAGTAGCCAATTTCATCTCCCACTTAAAAAATTTATGAATTTTACACATACAAAATATTAATTATTCTTATAACTTTTATATTAAAAAAATAAAAATATTATAATGCCAATTTTTTATTTTTTTATTTAAAAAACAGTGCAAAAATTATGTGTAAATAACATGACTATGTTACAAGATAGACCCTTTATCTAGAAGAGGTTATTGTATACTTTTAAAATAATTCTTTTATATTATAACTTTATGATATAAGCGAATTTGTATGGAGGGATAAGTAAAAATTGAAACTTTTTGGACCCCAACTTTGCATGAGACAGGAATTCTAAATTGTTGTTACCGCGATCTTTACTCACACAAAGAAAAAGAATCAATTTCATAATATGTCGTTAATATCAAATTCACAACTTAATAAAAATGTTTTTTTTTTGGTAAAATAATAAAAATGTTTTTATTAACAGGTAATTAGTGTCGGCAAACCCAATTCAATTAAGAACACCACAAGGAAAGCTCTCTGAATTTTAATTAATAAAACATGATTTATTCTCTTCTTGTTAATATTTAGGTCTTATGATATTCTAATTACAAATTAATGAGAATTTAATTCCCATAAAAAAGAAATAATTACAATTTAATCAACATTAAATATTAAAAAAAACCTTCTCATAATAATTTATAAATCAATCATCATTGAACATAACTAAAATAAAAAACTAAATCAGCCCAGAAAATTTTTCCCAATTAAAAACTTTGCAACAAAATATGCATAACCTCTGCCCTTAAAACATGGCAACTTTTTTTTTCCCTTTATTATTTTTTAATAGATTTTTCTTTATTCTTAGTATGTGAAAAAAAATTGTATAAAATGTTATTAGCATTAAATACAATTTAATTATTAAATATATTTTATCTCTATTTAAATATAGAAATAAGTTGGAATATTATTATTATTTGCCAAACTCATCCTAAAAACAGAAATAAATTTTTTTCACTTTGAAGCAGTGACCCTAGAGAATAGATCGAATTATTGTTATTCACATCCTTAATGGTCATAAATTTGATTTATTCTAGGTTTTTTTTTTTATTGGTTGTACCAAATTTCTTTAATTAACCATAAAATGCTTCCTTAAATTTCTTCAAATTCTCACATTTAGACCAACTTAAACTTGGACCGGATCCTTGATGTCATGCCTTAATTGACATCGCTTTAATTTTGTTTTGAAATTATTTTGATGATATAATTTTATTTTCTATTTATGTGAAATATTGTTTCCAATTAGAAGGACAGAAAGCGAATGAGAACAATAATAGCAAACTGGATGTATACTAAATCACCATTATCATTATTTATATTTATATCTATATGCTTACACAGATTCACGGAAGATATGAAGGTGGAAAAAGTGGGATGCAGCGACAGCTGCTATTTGATATATGAGTAACATGATGCACATATGCGAGGCTAAGAAGAAACACACCCAAAGCACAACTATAAGTGCGTACGTTCTATATGGGATAGCTATTCATATTAATTCATCAACTAAAATTGTGAATTTTGTTATTTATGCTCCTTTCATTTAGGCTTATATAATTATTACTATTGGAAAAAATTTCAAAGCAACCTTTCATAGGGCTTTGGAGCTATGTTGGCGTGTGGGAAGGAATTAATGGCCGGCACCGGGGCTATGCCCCGGCTCCGTTGGTCGGAAACCGTCGATCCAATTTCTAACCCCGTCATTCTTGGTGTCAGGTGTGGTTGCAGCTTCAAATTCAAGGGTGTGGCGGCGCCACAGGGCAATATTTTCTGCCACTGTAGCTATCTCTTCGATACTGTTTTTGTAGGTTGTCACTTGCTCCTTGTTCTCCGTTTTCAGTGGCCTTCCTAGAGCTGAAAAGGTTCCACTAAAAAAAATTATGGCAAGAAGAATGGGACTGACCATAAACACAAGCTTCGAATTGGCCATTATACAGTAAGTAGTGAGTAGCCTTGAGGTGGCTTTAGAGAGTATATATGAGATTTGAATGTGTGAATGTGGGGGAATTGAGATCTATGAAGTGGTGCTTGCAAAATGTTGTGAGTGCGGGGGGAGTTTATATAGGCCGAAAAGTCCAGGGCTCAAACTAAAATATCTAATTTTAATTAAAATGTGGGAAACTATAAATGGTGAATGTAAACTTTTTCATGATTATGCTCCCTCAAGATTCTCTTTTAGTTACAACTGTGAGAGTAAATTCTAGTCTAGTGTTCCTTTCGAATTTTTCTACTGCTCTGTTTTGCATGTTTCATACAACTATTTTTCGGTATGTTAATTTCCTGAGACATTTGAGAAATATTGATTCATCAAGAATAGTGTGAAACAACTACTGCACTCACTATGCCAGTGATGATTAGACGTTTCTGGTACGAACCCAACTGATTTTTAATATCAAGTGTTTGGCGGCCTGGGCATGGTTTAGATTTCAAACTTGGATCATCTCATATTAAATAAAGAGTTTTATTAATCTCATGCAATAGGATATAAATTTTTTCATGTTATAGAAATAATTATGTGTAAGACCCAATCACTTATAAAAAAAAAAACAATACAAAAATCGATGTATATGTAAGAGAGAAAAATATTGTCCTACAACATAAGAATATATTTTCTCTTAAATAAAATATAATATGTTAATATAGAAAAATTACAATTATTTAAAAATAAATTAATGATAATAAAGAAAGAAAACAAAAAAATATTAAAATAAATAATTATAAAATTATCACCGTTGAGGATTCATTTCCATCTTATCATCATATTTCTTGAGTATTGAGTATTACCAAGATTATTTATTTATTTTAATATTAATTAATGATCCAACTAGTTATATACATTTATATTTTTATTATGTTGCATTTTACAAAATAAAAATAAGTCTGGGATAATAAATATATAAATGAGTAATAAAATTTTATTATAGAAATCGAAATATTAAAATATGAATAACCCAAGTGTGGTGGCTAAGTTGGTAGCTTGGGGACTGAGTGGTGGGAGAGGATCTCAGTTTGAATCTTACCAACACTTGGGGAGGGACATAAGTACTGTAATCCTTGGACTCGCACCCGAACTCTGGATTAGTCCCATAAGAGGCTCAAATAGTCGAATTCGTGGGGATACCGGGAGTTCTGATTCATCTCAAAAAAGTAACTAGGATCAATTTCAAAAAAAAAAATATGAATAAAGTAAAAAAAAAAATACATGACGCTCTTTTTTTTGTTTTTTTTGGGATACATGATGACACTCTATGGTATGGAATAATTTCTCACTGCATAAACACGAACTTTGTATTGAATTAAAGTCCATTAATTTGTTTACCCAAAAAAAAAAAAAAGTCCGTTAACTTGTACAATGCCTGAGCCTGGTTAGATTCAAAAGTCAAAACTCACGAAGTTAATGGAAGTAACTATTTCGTTATACATTTATCTTACGAATAATATAAATTATTAAAAAATTCATCATTCATCATCTTAAGATTTTGGATTGAAGTGGTTCTTTATATGGTATTAGAGTTTCAGTCACTATATGGTCATGAGTTTAATCATCACCGCCCTCCACTTGTGAAATTAAATAAGTATAAGGTAAACTAAATATTGGACCTACGCAATAATTCATGCTTCAAGTCCAAAGAGCTCTTGCGTGAAGGAGCGTGTTAGAAAACAATATAAACCATTAAAAAAGTTATCACCCATCACTTTAAAATTTTGAGTTGAAGTGATTCTTTTTTTTTTTTTTGTAATAGTTGAAGTGATTCTTTACACAGGTGTAACTAGTACTCGAGTATGGAGGCTTTATGCTCTTTTCATTCACATGCATTTTCATATTGTAATATTAATTAAGATTGGATCTGTTATTTGTTTACGCTTTAATTTTTTATTCAAAAAACAAAAATAATATTGAGATAATAAATATACTCATCTTGCTTTAAAATAATTATCATCATGTAACTTAAAAATTTAACAAAACATTATATTTTTAATTTTGTCATTATTTTGGTACTTTCACTAAGTAAGATGAGAGAGAATAATAATGAAGTAAAAAGTAAATTAGTTAAATAAGATTATATATTTTTGAAAAAAATTAAGAGTATTTAATAACTTTCTTAATTCTTTTCCATTTCTTTAAATAAGAATGGTTTTATTTTATATATATATATATATATATATATATATATATATTTTGAAATTTTGATTCAGATATGATAAATATCAAATGTCGTGCTTTTCTAACTATTAAACTTTCGAGTCAAGGTTCTAAAGAGGAATATTTTTATCATGTTATATGAGATAATTTTATTTTACGTAACAAAGTGGATGAGACCCACAAAGGAAAAGAGAGAAAAAAAAAATAGGTCTCATCCACTTTGTGTATGTGCATAAGATAAAATTATTTCATACAACATGAAAGATATATTTCCCATAAACAAAAGACAAATCACAATCCAAAGTTATTGTTTTAGTAACGATTCAGATTTTACCTGTCCAAAAAATAATAAGTTCAAATTCTAAGACTAACAATTGGATGGAGAGATTCAAATCCAAAACTCAATTTGCCAGAGCCGTTAGACTTCAAATATGAGTTGATATCTTAAAAAAAAAAAAAGACAAATCACATTGTTAATTAAGGTTAAGATATCAAAATATAAATATAAAGTAAACACAATTTTGAAATAATTTCTCCCTACATAGACAAGATGCCGAATTGGACTCCATTAATGTCGCTGGTTGGAAATGGTATCCTGGTCGACAACATCTCCCCGTGTGGAACATGAACAGATATGGTCGGTTGATAAGTAAGCTTGCTTTAGTCGTTTTGCAATGCCAATTTTTTTTTTTTTAATTTACATATTATTTTTGTAATTTCGATTCGAGTGCGACAAAAGTCAAATGTCTCTCCAAAATTATTTTTTCAGAAAATCTTTCTAATTAAAAAACATCCCACTTTAAGTATGTTTAAAAAAACATTTTCAAATATGTTTTCTTAAGTAAACAATGCATTTTCTTTGATAAAAAAGCATAACTAAATGAACTCTAACATGGGGAATCTTCATTTGTTTGTGACGTTCCATTTTAGAGAGGAGTCTTTGGCTACATTTTTTCTTTTTCTAATATGCAATAATATTCTTTTTCGTAAAATTTACCATATATATAAGGTAGATTATTCTTATACCTGCATAAGAATAATAAGTCTTACATCTAATAATAGCTCACATATCTAGTATAAATTAGAATCGTTAAATATAAATATAATTAATGGCAAAAATTATGAATATAACTTACACTGATATGAAATAATTTGACTATATATTACATAAGTAAAAGTTAAAAACAATCCCACTGTTAAGTTATACCTAGATCAGCAGTAGGTTTTTCTTTTTCTTTTCTTTTTTCCCTACGCGGTGTCTTCAAATTCAGAGAGTGGGTGAGATTAATTCCTACACTTGTATGTCTAAAAAAATGACCTTGGTCATAAGATAAGATGTAATTAGTAAAATTTGCCTACATGAACCTTAAGTAAATAAGTTTTTTCAGTACTAATCGCACATATATATGTGTCCATGTGTGTTAGATTCTCTTTTCAGTCATGGCGACAACTTTATCCAATAGACAACTTTCAAAATTATGAATATAATTGTTAATTTGGTTTTAAGGGAATGAGACAGTGTTATATTTGGGACTTATGAACATAATCAATATTTTTTATTTTCCCATTCTAATATTTAATTTATATGATTATATTATTATATGTATAAGGGATTACGTGACTATAATATTTTTCTTTTCGTTGAGTGGAATGATTGAGTGAATATATACTTATTTATTTTGAAATTTAATTAAATCTTCCACATGCTTGTTATTATTTTATTTTATTTTTGATTTGCAGTAACATAATAAAATTATCAATATTTTGAGTTGTAGCTCCATCATCAACTAATCATAACATATAAATTACAGAATGTAATATGTCATTTTTTAAGACTTGATAGGTCAGACTAATCATTATATTTTTGAAAAATAAGTTAAATCAAGCTTATAATTTAAATTGTATCATGTTAATAAGCTAAGCCGGATTTAAAATATTTTACATAGGCATAATTTATGTTACATAGTTTAAGTCATGCTAATAAGTTAAGTTAAACTTATAATTTAAATTGTTTCAGGCTAATAAGTTAAGCCGGATTTGAAATATTTTATATAGCCATATTTTATTTGGGTTAAAGTTTAACTTCACCTAATCATTTACATTCTTAATTAAAATAATTATTTTATTTTTTGTGTTTTTAAATATTCTGTTTTGTTATAATTTGAATTTAATTATTAAAAAAAAGAACGTAATTATTCATACATTTGTTAAAAATATGATATGCTTGGCGGAAAGAAAAAAGAAACACAACAATTTGCGGAATATAATATGATATGTTTTGGGGCACTGTATAATGAAAAAAAAAAAAAAAAAAAAAAAAACATATAGAGTACTGTAATCTATATAAGAGATACCCCCCTCCCCCCTCATGTTTATATATGTTTGTAAAAGTGTAAGCTATCTTGACCAAAATGCGCACTAAAACCTGAAATAAATTGCTAGTAAAAGGAAGGCTATAATCTTCTGAACCCCACTTAGATCCCTGTGGTTTTTTTCTAACAGTTGAAAAATAATTTCACAATAAACAAAATTACATGTCAAATGAATATGATGATTTTACGTTTTCAACTTGCTTCAAAGGTCCTTTTCTCTCTGCATTATAAAAAATTGAGAGGTTCTTGAATACTTTGGGTTGGCTCCTCAAGCCTGAAGTTCAAGACGCGAAATGATCTGGGTCCGAGCAATGAGCAGTATTTATAGTGCGACTGGGCCCAAAACCCCAACTTGAAGTAAGTGACGGTGGGTTTGCGAAAAGGCTGTTTATATCATATCAGAAGTAATTATTTACACGCTGGCTGAACCAGCCCAAGCCTCTCCACGGTGGGCACCATTTGAAGGCCGTGGCTAGGTCTATGGTTCTAAAATTCTGACTGTGCAAAGGATTTTTTTTCCCGCGCTATTAAGTTAGTGACCAATTGATTGAATAAGTGGGATACTAGATTATATTACAAGGGTAAATCACTCAATGCATATAAGTTATTTTTGGTGGGCTCAAAACGACGTTGTTTTGAAGTGAAAATTAAGGTATTTTTATAATTATAATATATTACAGAGTTATATTAGTCTTTATTTTTATATTTTTTTAATCTTATAACCTAAAACTAGAGATCTCTCAGATACAAAGCATAAAGCTTCGCTCAACGAATTTTCTCTCAAATTTCTAATCTCTCTCTTCTAACGTAGCGTCCACCCTCAACTAATGAATCTATAGAGGAGGTGGAATTTAGAGTTTAATGTTTAGGATTTTTAGAAAACCTCTCAATGGGCTTGGGTTTAGCATTGAAAGAGGAAGCCCAACACATTCTTATGCATTACAATAGTAATAAATTTCACCAAGAAATTAATTCTGTCAAACTTTTTGAAAAAGAAATTACTGCTGTCAAAACGCCTAGAAGTTGAAAGGAACTGTTCCGACATCCTATTCACCTAAGAAGTGATTTATTTTTAGTATTAACGAAAATGATTTATACACTTATCTTTTAAACTATGTATGACGAGAGTACTGGAACTTCAATATTTGATCATATCAAATCAAACCATTTATCTGATAACAATTAATATTTAAAACAAAAAAATATCATGATTTTTATCTATTATGCCTGGCAATTCCCAGAAAGCAGCAGTCAAATACTTGTAATAATCTTATGCCTAGTCATAGAATCTTTCATATGTACAAGCTATATGGAAGGAGCATAAAATGTTGGTCTAATCTTGCGAGGAAATCTTCTACGTTTGATTAGTCTTTAAGGAGAAAACTCTGGTATGGCGTCCCTGTCAGCGCTTTCTGTACTTCATCCCAGTTTTCAATTTGCTTAGATAATGGATCAGTATGTATCTTGACTTGACGGCTTTCAAGATCTCTGTATGGGACCCTTAGAAATTCTTGAACAACCTTTAGTTTCTGGAAGATAAAATATTGAAACATTTATAGAAAGATCAGCAAGGACACACTAAAAAAGAGAGGACACACGCACATTAATATTCATTTATAATAAAGGTTATAGAATTATGGTGTGGCACTGCAATGCTCAATGTGCCTCATCTAACTAGCCTTACAGTGCGGTTGTTGACAAGATCCTCGTAGTAAAGAACAATGTGGCGAGTGTTCTTAAAGTATGCAATGGCTTTTGCCGCAGTCTCCTCTGTTAGCTTTAGTTCTGGTATCAGTAACGTGATATTGATCCGTGGCCTGTACTTGGCAAGAATTCTAGCCTGCAGAAGCAGAACTATATATCATATCAGTTTTGACATCAACACATTTACACAGATTATATAGAATGGAAGAAAGGGGTAGAATGAGACCTCCTCCGTTGAGTGTACGTGAGATTTGTGGGTTCCATTTAGCGGCTTAGCATCTTTGTCATAGGAATTTGCTAGCACAGATACCATTCTACGGAGCAAATTCCTTCTGAAAAGGAATATTGTAGAAACTCGTCTCTGTTCAAAGTATTCCACTATCTCCTTATGATGCTCCATTAAACCCTGTATTGAGAAACATGACAAGATTTGGAGAAAATTGAGAGAAATTAATTATGAGAAAGTAAATTGAAATTCAATTCACTGAATTAAAAAATTTGTTTTTACACAATAGAGAAGCTCTAATAACTACGAGGAACTCAACCCAACTAACCAATTGATCACATGTCTAGTAATAGCATGAAATGTGTAATTATTTTTTAGCACAACAAACATGTAATCATTGTTCGTTGATGGCTCATGAAGCTGTGAAACTTCAACATGCTCAAAGTAATTTCATTTGGTAATGATGCCTACCTGATTAAGCATCCACTTGAAGCCAACAGCTGCAGAGCACTCATTCTTGGAAGCACTTGTGAACCAATCAAGACTATACACTTGATCCATTGTCTTCAAAATTGAAGAAACGTTTCTTCTTCTTCTGCCAACTGAAAATATTTCTCCATTGGAGCTTACATTAACATGACTGTTTAAAAACGTCTCAAACCAACCGCTCCCAGATCTTTGCATTGATAAAATGCAAAAAAACCGAACAGGATTGCAAGCACACTCCTTTCTGCATATTCATCAATCATTTTATATACGTAAACAATCAAACTCACATAACCATTCTTGTTAAAAAGTAGTGTAAAAACTTAAAAACATTTTTACTAAGATGATAAGTCTTAAAACGTCCTTATGCTCAGTAAAAACTGATAAAAATTACGTGTAAAAACGTAAAAATGGTAGAAACACATGTTTTTACGTTTTTATTTAAACCAAAAAAAATAAATCAGGTCAACTTTTAACCCATGATTGGTTTTATTATTATATTTTTAATAAAATAAAATAAAAAAACCCATTTCCATTACCCCAAATCAAATGTACAGTATATCTTTTTCTACCTATTTGAAAAAAAAATTCTCACGCGAGGCCGCTGTATTTTCATTTAAGAGTTGTTAAACTTTATTTTTTTGATGATGTGAAACTTGGTTATAGGCATTGTTAAACACTTTTTGTGTTTTGTACTTATGTCTTATATAATTATGTGACTTATATCTTTTAAATATGAAGTTATTTATTAAATTTTGAATAGTAACTTATGTGATATATTTTTTATGGGAAAAATGTTTCTGCAGTTAATGCAGATAAGTTATCTGCATTTATTCCCAAAACAACGTCGTTTTGGTATTGAAATCTTAAAAAATTATAAATATAAAGACTGTTATAACCCTCAAATAAATTAAAATTACAAAAACACCATGATTTCCGTCCCAAAACGACGTCGTATTGACTTACTGCAGATAAGTTATCTGCAGTAACTGCAGAAAAAGCAAACCCATTTTTTATATGCATATACATATAATTTTGTATCTTGACCTCAAGTAGTAAAAGTTTCTATGATATACGTTTCTACCATTCTCTTCTTCCGTTTCTAAGTAGAAACTCGATTTTGACAATATTGCACGTAACAATTATTGGAACACAAATGGATTCTCCTCAACATATGTGTACAGTTGTATACATGTAATGTATATTTACCTGCTATGAGTTTTGGGTTCTGGATAATGCAAGTAGGGTATTTCCCATTCTTCCACACTGTAAGGATGATAACATGGCTGTTTGAAGACACTGAGGCGAGACAATTTGGTATTTGTGGATACACCTATTTGCTCAAAACAAATTGAGAAAATGTATATTCCACAAACCACAGCGATAACTAAAACTACCAACCTCAATGTTAATGGAAAACTCTTGATAGGGGAGTCAGTCATTCTCCAAGGAATAAGCAGAGTTATTAGAGTGTAATAGAAACCATGAGTAACTTTGGCAGAGGTGGTAGGAAAATCATTATGAAAAAGAGATCACCAGAACTTACTTTGGTTTCCATCTAAGATTTAAAAGAAAATAGAAAAGGTACAAAGAAAAAGAAGAGTATATTGAAGGGCATTTGGTTTCATAAATTCTGTTTGAAAACTTTGAGAGATGCATGGCTAGAGAAGGGGTCAGAGGATTTGCCTGGCTATCTACGCTTGAAAAAATCAGAGGTAAGCGTGTCCCATGGTGCAGCTGCTCAAGTAATGTACATAGGGAAAAATAATTAAGTGGTACACATCCACTTAATTATTTGGTAGTCCCATCTCATATGAGGGAATTTTTTTTCCTATTTTTTTTTTTTTCCATTTTGCCCTCCTATTTTGAGAGAGGGAACACCCAAAGTTTCATGGCCGAGTAACACTGCAATTCCTCTTGTACATAGGATGTTAGTAAAAAGAATATGTAATTTATTTGTAAAAATAAATAAATATGTAATGTACATATAAAATGCACACATTTATTATTTATTTTTTAGTAGAATGCACACATTTATTACTTTTAGAAGCTTTAACACATAAGAAGATTTCTCAAAATAAATGGTAAAGAAGATCCAGAATATTAAATAGCTATAAAAGACCCATAAATTACCACTTTTCTCTCGCTGAGCTGATATTTTTCTGGAATGTAATAATTAACATAAAGCAGAAAAACACCAAGTGTATGAGTATAGAAATAGGGAAACATAAAATAATTATAGAGAACATAAAACAAAAAAGTTGATTTATAATTACTTATTTTATTTATAAGAACTTTCTTTTCTTTTTTTTAAAAGTATTTAATGTGATTGAGTTATAATAGCTAATTTTTTATTGAATTTAATTATAGTTAGTAAATTTTTGACTGTAATTTAATTTGGCAATTACTATCATTTGCAATAAAATTACCTATTATTCATCTTTTAATGTGAAATTATAAATAAATAAATCAAAATTAATTTGATTTTGTTTTATATTATTTACGTTACTGTTGCTTTTACTTTTTTTTTTTTTTTGGAAACATGCTTTACTTTTCAACATGCTTTTTACTTTTTTTTTGTCATGTGAATTGACATAGCATATTATCTTGTAGTGCAAGAAAAACAAAATTTTGGTTTAACTCTCATGCTGAGAATAAGTATTTCTTCAGTTGTTCATCATGAAGAAGGAAGACAGCTACACATACCGACCCGATACTTAAGGAAAATGGAAGTCCTACTGAGAATGCAACCTAAGGATGAAGATTACCACAAACTCACAAGCTTTATCACAACTGAGCTTGAGATACATGCTAAAGAATAAGAGAAATAACTAGCTAGTTATCACTTATCAGAACTCAGAATAGTTGCCTGCATTGTGTCTATCGAAACAAAATAAACAAGGAGTATTCAATATATATAAACCCTGCTTCCTATGCCGTATCTCATGAGTTACGATACTTTTGGTTATCGTCACTTTAAATTAGCAAAAAAACAGTGCATCACACATACAGCCATACCAAAGCAATAAGATAAATCCAATCAACTGGACCACTGAGTTGGAACGAAGATCTCGTAGTATATATTAATATTAAGCAATCATCAGTGCAGGACGTTGTTTCTAGCCTTCGACGGTGAAGAATATAAACATGTAAAAGTTCTATGAAGTCTTGCCAAATTAATAAATATTTTTTCTTAAGAATCCTCTAAATTATGTTAAGCATGCGTGAGTTAAGTGGGAAGACAAGAGTACAAGACTCAGTCATCAGCCAGCTAGCAAGTTGGCAACAGATTGCATGTGGACTAAAAGCATCTCAAAGCTCACCCTTTATAATTATAGTTCTGGTATATATTGTTCCTTCAAGAAAAGTCATGAAAACGACGTATGGCGTGGTTGATTGATAAAATAATAGTAGATGGAAGAAGCTAATTAGATCAAATCAAAGCTGAAAATGTAGCGCATACATTAATTATGTATGTTCGTGTATCATGTATGCAAGAGACTTTTTAATTTTATTTTGAGTGCATCAATCAAAGACCAAACCCTCCACTTGACCATACCCAGAAATCTGCTTTAAATCCTCAATAAATGCTCGCTGCTTGGACCGTTTCCCCTTCTCCTTTACACTTTCTGAATTTCAGGACGTTGGGGAACAGGTCAAAAGTCCCCATTCTAGATATATACATATTATTACCCTAAAGAAGTACTTTATTCGTTCCAGCTAGTGATCTTAATAACTAAAGCACTTGATAATATTTTATTGGTACATACAACTTATGTGTTTTGAATCTACCATCCAAATTCAAATTTTTATTTCACCCAAGTCCCAAAAACACAAGTCATCATGATTTGTGATACAGACTTTTTTTTACTCTATGGTCATGCAACTAAATGATAATTAACTTATCTATTTAATTATCATATATTATATATTAATAACGTACATGCCCTCCCCATGTCTAACATATCCATGCCTTGAGTTGTAAAAGGAAAATTTCTGACGTACGACAACCTAACATACGTGTCCTAGCTCTGATGCATTGTATATGTAAATAAAGCCACGCCACGAGCAATTCCCACCTCCAAGTTAAAAGACCCAAGCAATGGAATATGGACCACAATGAGTAAGTACAACAATTATACATGTCACCATGTACTATACTGATTCCGCAGCACTAGCAATTTATCAATTAATTTAGCGAAAATGTGTATCTTTTTAAAAGATACACCGATACAAATTTAGATCCTTCTAGGAGAGGGATAAATATAAAAAAGTGAATCCGTTAAAAAGAAATAAAGATAAAAAAAAAGTGAGTTTCACCTTTAGTGTCCATCTCTCAAAGGATTTAAATTTGTATCTTTTAAAAGTACACGTACCTTTTTTATTTTATTTTTTGAGATATTTTAATAATTCATCGCTTAGCTACTGATCCGATTCCGGACAGGTCTTGAAATTAAGACTTTAAACTCTTATTAAAAATAGTATTAGAAATGATCAAACACATATTCTTACCGCACAATTTTTCCGTTAATTTATCTATATCATTCCCTTATAACGCTTTCCCTTTTTCGTTGTTGAATTCAAAAACTCCAAACTGTGAACCTCGATCCTATTTTAGGGGAATTCTTAGTATTATCAGAATTGCAGCTCATTGACCAAATCAGCCACCAAAGATCAGCTCCATGGGGTCCAAACAATATTGGGAGATTAGTTATTATATTTATTATTCTTTGAAGCACCTTGAACATAGTACCTGTACATTAAAATATTGATCCAAACCAATCGGCCATCTTTATCTTTAGCTGCCTAACTATCAAGCTCACGAAAGAATGCTATCTTATCTACCCGTTTCGTGTCCAGCAAAATAAGCAAGGCATACGTCACATGTAGTGGGATTAACGTATGCCTTGTGATTACACATTTAACGTCTAAACTTAAGAATGTAATAAGTTCATTAGTAAAAATTAATAATGAAAAAGCCAATTATAAATAGGATTGGACTAGTGATAAATAAATAAATAAACATCATTGTACTAGTAAACAAAGGGGAATAGTTTCTCCTGCCTCTAGATAAATATTTTATATGGTCCAGGATCACTGAGTCTTTTGGTGCTCTCTTTCATATCATTGATTTTTTCTTTCCTTTTTTATCCCTGTTATTTTTTCTCTTTTCCAATTTTACCCTTCTATTTATAATAAGAGACCACCTAAAAAATGGTGGTCCCGGTTCACAATAAATAATCTCCTCCTATAGACACAATTTTTTAAGTGGGACCATCACATTAAAAAAAAAAGTTAATGAAATAATTTTTATGAGTCTGTAGAATTAGGATCCCCCCGTAAAGAAAGGGGAACCTTACCAGAGTGACGTGGCGATTGTGGCGCAGGACGAGAAAGCTTATTTACGTGCTGGACATTAAACGGTTAGAACCTTACCGGCGACTTGATGCCGTTACCAAGCACATGGACTCTCTCTGGCTGTCACGGAAGCTTTTTCGTAGAAAGCTTACAAATTGATCAATTACTGTATTTTGAACAGTTCTATTCTTTTTATTTAGAACATTCAATTGTTAGATTTTAGGTGAGGAATAGCCAAATACTACGATCCACTCATTTGTGAACCACTTTCGCAGAAATTATTCGTATGATTATAGTAGTACTTTATATGTCTCCAATTAACAGGAAATTAAAGATATGCAAAAGTATATGTACTATTTTTCATTCCCTTTCTATTTTCTTTTTCTTTTGCCCTATAAGTCCAACTCTAATTAAGGCGATCGATGTTTGGACTTTGGACCATAGAATATTCAACGCGGGACCAATTGATCATGAGAATGGATTGGATATTGGAGACAGTCAACCTATTTACCAAGCCAGATACTGAACATAACCCTGACTCGTCTTTGAGTCTGGACTCTACCATCTAAAAACACCTATAAATAGGACGTTAAGAAGAGCAAATATAACACCCAACGAAAAACTTGAATCTAGCTTTTCTATAACATTCTTCTTTGATAATCGCAAGTTCTAGCGATTCCATTGTGCAAACAATTCATAAGCTTTGAGCTTTTCTTTAGCATTCCTCGGAACAAGCTGATCAAACGAATACACACAAAATTCCACTTTCCAAATATTCAGCAATTAACTTTTGATCAATATATGGAGAGAACAAAGTCATCCCTTCTACAGATTCAGCCCCCAACCTATGGAAACTTAGTCACTATTCTCAGCATCGACGGGGGTGGTATTAGAGGCATTATACCCGCAACTATTCTTGCTTTCCTTGAAAAGCAACTTCAGGTATCTATATACTTCTAATTACATTAATTAATGTGCATGTGTCTATGTACATATATAGGATAGGACTATAGGGTTCTCATGCGTGGTCTATGATTTAACAGGCTTGATTCCAGCACTCAATATACCATAACATATATAGTTCATGAAAAGATAGGTGATAAAGGAAAGCATGGTTTTGGAAATATATATATATAGGGTGCTTTAAGAAAAACTTTTTGTTTCCTATATTCGTAAAAACAAAAGTGATCAATTAAGGATAAACCACGTAATGATATAGGTTAATTATATATAACTTAACTAAGTGTATTAACAAGCAGGAATTGGACGGTGAGGATGCAAGGCTTGCAGACTACTTTGATGTGATTGCAGGAACAAGCACAGGTGGTCTTGTAACGGCTATGTTAAGTGCTCCAAATGATAAGCAGCGTCCACTTTTTGCGGCCAAGGATATCAAGCCCTTTTACATGGATCACTGCCCAAAGATTTTCCCACAAGTACAACACAGGTACGTACATATACAACTCCTTTTACATGCGGTAAAATAAAATAAGTTACTAATAAATAATATATGTGTACTTACATTACAAATTATATTGAAGAGCTTAATTTGTACGAATTGAACAGGGGCCTGTGGGGGTCGATACAAAAGTTGTTGATATCATTAGGAGGACCAAAATACGATGGAAAATATCTTCATGAGGTGGTGAGGGAGAAGCTGGGGGAAACTCGTTTGCATGAGACACTCACCAATATTGTTATTCCCACGTTTGACATCAAGTCATTGCAACCAACCATTTTCTCTTCTTATCAGATCAAGAGGTCACCTTGCTTTGATGCTCGACTCTCTGATATATGCATAAGCACCTCTGCTGCACCTACTTATCTTCCAGCCTACCACTTCAAGAACCAAGACCCAGAAGGGAACCTACACGAATTCAACCTTATTGATGGTGGCGTTTGTGCAAATAATCCGGTATGTGTAAATATGACTCTCTAACTTAATATTATTCAAAATTTTATTTAAACTATTTATTGCATATATGGAGAAAATGAGTATCGTTTAAAAGGATACGAGCTTATGTCCTTTTAGTAGTTTTTAATTATGCATTTTGGAATACATAGTTATAATATTAAAGTTGTATTTTTTTACTTTGTACGTCAAAAGACAACTTTTTGGAGAGAGAGAAAAAAGTACAACTTTAATATTATAATTATGCATTACTGTAAATACATAATTAAAACTGTTAAAAAGACATAAATCGAAGGAAACTCACTAAATCATATATATATATATATATATATTGTAAACATTAATCACTTATTTTTGCTTTTGTGGATTCTCTGATTCAGACATTAGTAGCCATGAATCAAGTAACCAAGCAGATCATTGATGATAATCCTGACTTCTTTCCCATCAAGCCTATGGAATATGGTCGCTTCCTGATAATCTCACTGGGCACAGGGACACCCAAGAATGAACAGAAATTCAATGCAAAAATGGCAGCCAAATGGGGTGTTTTGGATTGGTTAACCCACGGTGGTTCTACTCCCTTAATCGATGTGTTTACTCAATCCAGTGCGGATATGGTTGATTTTCATCTTGCTACCGTCACTCAAGCACTTCACTCAGAAGATAATTACCTCCGGATACAGGTAATATAAGCTCCCACGTATTCATGGTTGAAGAGCAATGCTATTTGCTACAAACGATTTTTTACGGAATTGATTACAAAACGAAACATGAGTGAGAATATTTGAGTGATCAAAAAATAAAAATAACTGCACAAACCTATATATATTGACAGGATCCGTTTACAAACTTAATATAGGACCGGTCGTACACTGTGTGATTAATGTAGGACCGGTTCTACATAGTGTAATTTGTAAAAGTTTGTAAACAAAAAAATTTGTACATATAACATGTCCCATATATATTACATGTATTTATGAATATTCTTTCATGCATATACTCATTTTCCTTTTGTGAAATTCAATCAACGTGCAGGATGATACATTGACTGGTACGGATTCTTCAGTTGATATTGCCACAAAAGAGAATTTGGAAAAACTAGGCCAAATTGGTGAAAGGTTGTTGAAGAAACCAGTTTCTAAGGTCAATTTAGAGACTGGTTTATTTCAGCCGATAGAAAATGGGGAGACCAATGAAGATGCTCTAAGAAGGTAAGATTATAAATTAAATGTTTATTATAATTAATGGGTCATTTAATGATTCCACCTATGCAATTCAGCTATATATGTCATTCATATTTTTTGGTAGACCAGTTATATTAAACATTTGGCTCTAAATATCATTGTAGGTTTGCGAAAATACTTTCACAAGAGAGGAGGCTCCGAGAATTGAAATCCCCTCACACTCACAAGGCCTTAATATAATAAGACGTTCGCTAGCTCGTTGTTTATGAATTCTGAGTTTGCGTGCTTAAGCTGTTTTTAAGACTACTCGTTCTATCTAATGTTATTATTCTTTTTTCTTTTAAGTGTTTGTATCGGATTCTATTTAGAATTATCTTTTGAATATAATGATTTAGTAGATGTAAATCTTAAAAAAAAAAAAATATGGATATCAAAATTTCTAATCTTTTATTGGTTTAGAAAGTAAGAAAATTATTAGGAAAATTGATTACGGGAATATATAATTATATTACAAAATATGGATATCATAAAATTATCTTATTTAATTTATCAACCGCAATTCAATTCGTCCTCGTAGTTGTTTCCCGAGTGCGCAAGGCATGGCGTGTAGTCGTTACTTAGAGAGAGACGTCTCTATCTGTGTTTTTTTTTTAAAAAAGCATGAATTAAGAACAGGTATTTTAGTCGTTACTTATTTACGATCCATTTCTATATCTAAGAATCACTTACACTTCATTATCTTAAGTGCAACTGTTAGGGTTATATCCGAATCCGTATTACCTAATTAAATGGATAGTAATGTCGTTTGTGATTGTAGTTTTATGTGGCGAACATGATCACAGGGTTAATGATATGCAATGGCTGTAAAAATAAAGAAGTTACCACAACTATTTTGTAAAGGAAAAATAATAATCAATCACAAGTTTATTTATTTATGTGAGAGAAATGTAATATAAATTTTTTTAATGTGGCTGAAAGTTTTAATTTTTTTTATTTTTTATCTATATAAAAAGAAAAAAAAACAAACTATGAATGTAATTTTGAAGAGCGTCGTGAGCTGGAACGAGGATAAGATCTAGCTTGGACGAGAAAAATTCAATGAATCTTTGGTCTTATACTTGTCACACAGAACATATGTATCACCCGTTTTCGGTTTTTACGTGGATGGGTATAACATTTAACTGTCTGGTCCAGTTGGATAGGGATAGGTATAACATTCAACATTTATCTTGTCTTGAACCGTACAATGAGCACACATCACATGTGAAAAGTGAAAACTAATAAAAAAAGAAAGGTGTAATCATCCTTAAATACCCAGAGATAAATAATGAAATGTACAAAATCAGAACAAAGTTTCATTATTATTCTTCTATTTGAAATACTAAATGCTGCAATCAGGACAGAACCCCAAATTCAAATCAAACGTACCAGTTAAGCAAGAGAGAAATAAAAATAAAAAAATCAAAATTAAAAGCTGCATTTTCGTTACAATATTGAATCAGATGCCACAAATTATGATGAAACATCAAAAGATATGTTATCAACAACATCAAATGGCAGACGCAATATTTCAAATCAAACACCCTAAATTAAGAGAGAGAGAGAGAGAGAAAAAGCAACAGTCAGCATTAAAGGTTACACTTTCATTATATGAAATATCAAACTAAAAATAGCAAATGATAATAAAGTCTCACCAAATATTTCATGATCATCATTAAATAATAGAAGCACAAAATCAACAGTAATAAAAACTCAACCAAAAACATCTGTCAATCAACATCACATAGAAAAAATTAGGCTCAATTCATTTAGTAGTATAAAAGAAAAGGCTCACGAGGTTGACAATTGAAGTAAAATCAAATTAAATAAACGTAAATCTTATTAAATTTAAGTGACTTTTTACATGCATACAACTTACATTAAAAAAGTTTTAAAGTCCAATTAATTCCTATTTTATAGCTTTTAAACGGAGTTTCATATAAAAATTAAACGATTATCAAATTAAAGCCCCGAGAGTTTCGTTTAATTAGATATAGTGTTTGCACAATTGCACGAGCGTGGGGGCGTTCATTATTTTACTTAATCTTCAAACCTGAAATTCTTTCATATTAAGGTCTCAACTGTTAGTCCAAGCAAAGCCAATGAGACAAAGGCAGCACATGGAATGGAAGCGGGTCTAATTTTATATTTTTGAACCAAGTTGTAAGTATTGGTACGGCTGGATATATAATTATTTGAAAAATTGGAAATTGAGAGTATATATATACCCACCTATCCTCATCTTCTCATAATAAGAACAATCTTAAACCTCCGAAGTTCACTTTAATTTCCCTGGAAGCTTCTCTACATATATCTCCCTTTTGATCACTACTCTCCAATATAATAAATCTTAGAGCTTACAAAAACAAGGAAGTCCTCCTTAAAACACCGAAACCTAAGGAAACCCAATTACGGTGCTTAGTATTGATGGAGGGAGTATAAGGGGACTCATTCCTGGAGTTATACTTGGTTTCCTAGGATCAGAGCTTCAGGTAGCTCACTATCTACCCAGTTACGACGTCTTTCTCATACTCAATACATGTTCATTTCAATTCGATTGATCATTCATGCATGGCTTCCCACCTCCCTTATGTACTATTTAATTCAATGTGTTCTATTAGCAATTAATTAAGGACATGCAAATTAATAACACAGTTACACATCTACAACTATAGAAAAATATGAGAATGAAGAACAGTAGGGGTGTAAGTGGGTCGAGCGGCTTGTCAGGAATTCAAAGCTTGACTTGCTTTAAGTTTGGCTTGGCCCAACTTGTTTAATAAATAGAACGAATTTAAACTTTAACAAAAATTTGGTTAGAAAACAAGCCAAGCCTAATTTAATGAAGCTTGGCTTGAAAGCCCGTAAGCTGGTCTGATATATTGTTATAATAAATTATAAAGAACCTTGTGATACACCATCCCAAAAGCTAACTCAAAGGGTGAGAGTGTCCAAGGTCTTATAAACTCCACATTAGTTGCACATACAACCAATGTAGGACTATATATCTCAACATAAATAATATATCTTTACATCACTGAATCACTAACCCTACTTTTGTAACCCTTTCGCAAACAACTTGTCTGATTATTGGTCTCTCATTTCCTCCCTCGACCACTCACATTTTCACGACTTTACCTTAACCTTCTATTTAACGCAACTCATTATTCGATCATGAAGTCTCGATTTTAATGTATCATGAATAGGAATGAGGGAGAAACGGAAGAGAGAAAACAAAGAGAGGTAGGGTAGAACTCGAATTCTCATCGAGCACGGGTATCCAATACAAACAATGTTAATATATAGAGAAAAATGTTTGTACTTTTAAATGACATAATTTTTATCATTTCACTATCACAAAGAGGTAGGACCCATACATTTATCGTTTTTTGTCCACTTTCTTTTCCCCATGATTTATCTCTTTCTCTCACTTAAAATGACACATCTTTACATCCTTTAAAATGATACATACTTTTTCCTAATATATAAATAACCATGAGTGAGGGAGTAATGTTCCACTAATGTGGTAGTTACGGAATCGTGAATGAAAGATAATTATACCATTAGCACCAACGGTAACATAATGATAACATGATTTAAGTCATCCATATTTTACAACATTTTAAAACTTGTTAAGACATATGCATCTCTTGAATAATGAATTAGAAAGAAATAACATGCATAACTATTATTAAAAATATCATAAAAGTAAATGAGGATTGTTTTATTTATTATTTAAAGTATACAACTATACATAATCAATATAATAAAGTGAATAACCATTCAGTGACTTAATTGACCATTGAAGTTCAACCGATTTAATAATATGATTAATTGCTATTAATTCGAACAATATTGGGTTAGTCTGTTCATTCATGTAGGCATCCAAACATCAATATATGTTGCATGTACTTGTCTATTCATTAATGTAGGCATCCAAATTTCAGGATTGAAAACGACAAACAAATTTATTAATATGAATTTTTAAGTCTATTAGGATTCATTATTAGGATTAATTATTAAACCTGTTAGGATTAATAATTAATCAAAGAACCAAATTGTGATGGATGAAGTTCAACCGATTGAGTCTATTAGGAACATACTATTATTTATTAATTGTGGTTGCATGTGTTTGTCTGATCATTAATCTTAACCTCCAAATTTCTGCATTGGAAACGACAAACAAATTTATTAATATGATTAATTGGAATGCAACCAAATTGTAGAAACAAAACCACTACTATTTGCGTTGGAAATTATTAAGGCTGATGTCAATTTAGACCCACAATATTGGCAACTTAAAAGTGTCTGTTAGTTTTGGTACGAAGATTAAGTTTAAAAAATATATAAATGGTAATAAAACACATGCAAACTAAAAGTTGAACAAAGTTCTGCACAGCAAAAACGTGTTTACCTTACTTACCCACTATTTATTAATTACAGTTGCCACGATTCATGTATTCAACGACTAATGATGCAAAGTGAATGATTGGTCAATATTTTGTATACCAAAATTCATGTTAAACTAAAAACTTATGGTGTGTATGTACAAAAAAAAAATATAAAAAATCATAACTATATAAAAATAAAAATAAATATTAAATATTAAATATTAAATATTAAATATAGAGAATCATAACCATATAAAAATAAAAATAAATATAACTTTTAGTAATATTATAGTGACCCTAACTAGTTGTTAGAGTGTACTTTCCTTTTTTTAAAATTGTGTTACCATTTTTCGACCAACTTCCACACAAATTCAAAACAAACCCTCACTCAAGCCACACCCACTCATGGCACGGGCACCTAGCACAGCTACAAACCCAACACATCGCAATAGAGGTATTTTTCGGCGGCTTCGTAGGTCACGGCTATCTACAACAACTTGTCGCGTCGCAATAGAGGTACGAACATGAACCGCCGAGAACTAGGGCAAGAATGAGGGCTTTGGAAGAGAATTTGGAAAAAAAACACATAACACGAAATTTGAGAAAAGAAAAAAGAAAGAAAAAAAGAAAGAAAGACTTGATTGGATAGTCGGGTCGGGATGTCGAGTCGAGTCTTTGGGTTTGAAATTAAAAAACACATAACACGAAATTGCCCTTTATCATAATCATACATATGTTTGTCCTTTTCTTCTGGACTTCTTGTGTGAATTAAAATCTGCAACATTTATCAAGCCCTCTTTAAAGAAATGCGTCAAACACTGTATATAGACGAGTCAATTAGGGTAACCAATGACCGGTATATTGGATTTGGCCGAACTATGTATATATATTCGTCATGCTTTTCATTAATTTGCTTAACTAGTCTGGAATTCTCCTTAAGTACCAGTAGTAAACAATCAAGACAACTTTGATGTCAAAGAAAGGCTGCATTATGAAAGACTCGCTTTTATTAATTGTTCTTATTTCCAACATGCCTTGTCTGCTATCCAAATTGTCATAATCTTGGGATGAGTTACATATTAAAAAAAAAAAGTTGTGAAAAAATTTATTCAATTAAATATGAAAAGATTTTTAAACCCCCAGTTGATAAGGTAATAGTGAACTTGACCCAAAAAAAAAAGTAGTCGTGATGGTAACTCAATTTTGGTTCTGCGAACTTGGAGAAAGAATATTGTCTCACGGATTTGGTTCAAGATTTTAACTCTTGGAGTGTTGATTAAAGAAAAATTGATTATTTTTGTTACTATGATTTCGAGAAACTGCTATACATTCAGGAAATGTTTTACACTGTACTGTTATATTTGCATTCCAATTTGAATTCAGAATTATTGAATAGCTGAGTTGATAAGTGAAGTAAGCCATTAGTCCATGACAGCTTGTTCAGATAGTGCTATTATTTTAAAATCTTATGCATAGTATGCTTTGTTACTTTTATGTTTAGCAGAATTTTGAGGCTTTAAATCAACGTGCTGTGGCTGTGGTGTTGGATTCTATTTAGTGTTAAAAGCAAGGTAATATTGATGCTCATCGATTGATTAGTCCACAGATTATGATACTGTGTCAGGAAACACAATAGACAACTTCCAACTTTGGTATCTGAATAAGCCATCTATCCGAGAAAGTATTGTGCAAATTCCATTCTAAAGCAGAGTTTTTGCCCTGTTTTCTGTCTTGTTTGTATTGATTTTGACACTTACTCTTGTCCCCATTTTAGGCTGATTTCTGATCCATGGCTTTAACCAACATTATTACTCCATATCCATCAATTGCAAGAAGAATGAGCTGTAAGAAAATGTGTTGCTTAACCTTCACAAGAAGAAATGGACAGATGGTTTGACAGAGGCACATTCTTAAATTCATGAACAAATGTTCAGGTTAGTTGAGATTCTTTAAGGCGAAATGATGTATAGATCTATCTCACTATGATTATTACGATATATGAATAAAGTAAATTGGGTAGAAAGTTGAAACACGGAAACACGAAGCCCTACATATGAACTCATTTATAGAATATACAATATTGCTAGGCAACAAAGCATATAACGATAATTGGAAACAGGCAAGCAAAACAAGTATTATGGATTTCTAACATGAGATTCAGAGGTCCATTCTGGAGTAGAGGTAATCTATGGCTACTTAACCCTTATTCAATATTATTATGCTTCCACACACACTACTATCATTGTAAAGCTTCAGTGTTCATTAATGAAAGCAGCCATGCGTTGAACCAAGCTCTTGGCTTTATCACAATTTGGGTCGAAGATATGAAAGACGTGATCCTCCCCTTGAGTCTCATAAAACTCAGCCGTTCCTTTCCAACCGCTGTTCACCAATTTTTTATGATAAAGCTTCCCCCTTTCCCTCAATATGTCTCTCTCAGCAACAATAACAAGCACCTTCTTGCAACCCAACCCTTCAAAACCCGGAGCTTCCTCCACAAATGGGTTGATTAGTGGATCATCATTCCCTTTGTCAGAAGGACAAACAAAATCCCACCACTTGTCTACCATTTTCTTCCGCACTGGATCAGTGATCTCCACTCCAATGGGTTCCTTCCCCCAGAAATAAGGATTGACCATGATAAGACCCGGGACCTTGAAATCTTTAGTTAGACCAGATTCCAGAACATGCAACCTTAAGGCCATGTAGTGTCCAATGTTAGCACCAGCACTATCACCTGCCAAGAACACCCTGCCAAAGTCAACTTTGTCCCTGAGCCAGGGTTCATGGTATTCATGATCTTCCGCTTCCGCAGCATGAGATGCAACCCATTGAACCGCAGCCCAAGAATCTTGGAATGCAGCTGGAAGTGGATGCTCTGGTGCTAACCTATAATTGACGGAGAGAGCAACAACGTTAGCCTCTGATACGAGTTTGTTGAGGGAGTTATGGTAGAGGGGATCAGAGACGGAAGAGATGCAAAAGGCCCCACCATGGAAGTAAATAACTAAAGGAAGCTTAGCAGTTTTGGCGGTGAAATTGGGACGGTATAACCTGGCTGTGACACCTGTTTCTGGTGTGATAATGATGTCTTTGGAGACAACATTAGTTTCAGAATCGAAACCCGCAGGAACAACTTGGGTGCCGGCTATTCTCTCAAGGGTCCCGTCCTTGTGGACTCGAAGGTAAGGAGGAACATCGACAGAGATTTCTGGATTGCTTGAATCCATTTGGAACTTGGAAACAGACAAGGACATAGGGAGTGTGGTAAAGAGTATTGATAGGTGAAGGACATTGTTCTATCTGCCAGCTTTTATTAATGAGACTATACCTCATATCATTACAGAAAAATTGCATATATTATTTAAAAAAGTGGTTCTTATATTTATAAAACTATAGACGGCACATTTTTCCCTTCTTGGTCAAGATGAGAGTGCCACCCCGAATATTTTATCTTTCTCTTCTTGTTGGGACATTTATTTCGACTAGGTACGTTGAAAGACTTTTCCCGTCTTAACTTCAAAGTTCAACGAAACAAACTAAATAATATATCACCGACTCCATAGTAGTTTATGAAAGAGTATAAAATGTATTGTGTTGTCTGAAGCAACGAAGTTACACATAAATTTTAAACATACCTTGTGAAAAATTTTATTGTAATAAATATTTAAATTCATACAACCACACTACCATACAAATAACAAAAATAGAGTTGTTATGTGCGTTGAAAGCACCACGTGACAGTAGCCCACTTTTAATATATTGCTCGCTATCTAAGGAAAGATAACCATGTTATTAAAAGCATAACTTAAAATCTACGCTGATGTAGTAAAACCATATGCAGTATTCACCCTAAAAAAAATATTAAGATGGTTTATTATCGAGTTCTGCTAAATGTTTATTGAAATACATCTTTAAAATTTTAAATACTAAATTTTGCAACTTAGAATAGTGATCCATTTTGAAAATAAAATGATGTATTTATCTAAGACAATAAAAGACAACATATTTCTTTATTATTAGTTTTGACAATAGGGCAGGGATGGGAGAGTTTTTCTCTCCCCAACCCGACCCTACTTCGTATCCTTATTAATTAAAATTCGTATTTATATCAAAAAAATATTAAAACCCATACTTGGCGATCTAATTTTGTAATTGTGAATATTTAAATTAACTACATAATAATTAATTACAGTTTTTTTGGGTGAAGAAATTAATTACTATTTTAAAACTAATATATCAACTCATATTAACTAAATAAATGGGTGAAAAAAAAGTTTTAAACTAGTAAAATTAGTTAAAGTTATTGAATTTATCAATGAGAAAGGATTTTAAGTAATCTGACGGTTATAATTTATTGAGAATTAATAATAATTAATAAATGTAATTCAATAAATTATAATCGTTAGATTGACAAAAATCAACTGTTAAAATATAGTTGTAAGAGGTTGTAAACGAAAATCGATTGTAACTATAACATTTCTTTATCAATAACCAAATTAAGGATAATATGTTGGATTAAAGATTAAATTCGGACGAGATACTTTGACTCTCAATCATCATATGTCATAGCGCTGCAGCGAAAATGGTTTTAAACTTGTGGCGTGCAGAGTCACATGAAATAGATATATAAATTGCTTGTAACCAAAAAAAAAAAAGATATATAAATTGCTTTTTGCATGATTGATTAAAAAACAAAATACAACACAACACAAATAAATAATCCAGCTCAATCAAAGTCTGTGCAAGCTTAAAAAAACCCAAAAAGCAAAGAACATGGCATCGAAAATATTAAAGGGGTGTTGAATGATTGTACACATGCATTATTGAAGCCGTGAAAGTTATTAGAATGATTAAGCATGCTTGATTTTGTTTAACGAGCTGAATCGTAGGTCCTTTTTTTCTCTCCTTATTCGCCGGAAGGTAGGCCCATCCTTCATCCATGAGCCCAAATAAAAAAGGTGAACCTTTTGAACTTTGTAACTTTTGACTTTTGTGCTGCTCGTGCATGAAGAAATAATCGACAAAAAATGTTTGATGCATTTTCCAGCATCGTGATTCATGACTCTCGTTATAATCATAATTTGTAACTTCTTAGGCTTACCTAACAACAGAGCATAATAAGCTGTTTGGAACGGCTTATTTTAAGAAAAAAAAATATTTCTCACTATAATTTTTTTAGGATATCTGGTTAAAGAAAATTGATAATTTTTTTTTTTTTAAAAGCTAAAAATTTTAACTTCGAAAAAAAACAAAAGTTAAAAGTTAAATATTTTTTTTCACACACTAAATATTTTTTAAAAAATTTAAATAGCTATAACTTTAGTAAAATGTACTTCTAAAATAAATGAGAACGGTTATACTTACCACCAGGTAAGTTTACTACCATTATCATCAATCTCATCACCGTTAGATTAAAATTAAATCTAACGGTCCATAATTATTCCTTATAATCTTAATTTTCTCTCTCACATTCCCTATTTGTCTTTCTCTCTCTAGGTTTTCATACCCTCTCCCATCCTCTCTTTAATTGTTGTGCGCTTTTGATATCTTAACTCGCTGCACATCGATTTATTCAACAGGTTTCTCTTCTCATTCTCGCTCTTTCTTTCTTAATTGTTTATTTGTTTATTTGATGATATTGTTTTGATTTATATGGTACCCCCAAACTTGCAATCCTGCATCTGTTTGTTCCTGGGTAAGTTCGAGTTCAGGACTGATTCATAATTTTAATGATTGATAATTTTCCTTGGCAGCCATGAGCTTCTTCCTATGCGGGAAACGTGGACGAAGAAAGGAAAACCGTTGTCAGAGTCGTTGGCACGAGGATCAGGGGCGATGAATAATGAATTGTATCATGGCACTAATAATTCATATAAAAAAAATGAATTCATAATACCCTCCCACCAAAATCTTAAACGGATTCATGAAATATGTCAACAAATGAGAACAAATCTTGAATTTCGACATAGCACTGTAAAGATAAAGAAAGGAGGAAACCTAGAGAGAGAGGGGTGGAATTTGAGAGAAAAAATTAGGATTATAAAGGATAATTATGAGCCGTTAGATTTAATTTTAATTTAACGGTGATGAGATTGGTGGTAAAGGTGATAAACTTACCTGGTGGTAAGTATAACCGTCCCCAAAATAAATAAGGCATAAAAATTACTTTTTTAAAAAACTAAATAAACGGGCTCTAACAAAGAATAAAAGAAAGAAAATAAATTAGTATTTATCTACCTAAAAATTAAATTCAACCAATCAACGTTTGCACTGCTCAAATCAAAATAGATTTGCCCGGAGACAGCTAATAGTATTCTTAATTAAAGTGAGATGATTAAAAGAATAGTTCATGTCTAAATTTTTATTGAGTGGATCCTCTCATGTGAAAAAATGATAATGTTATTTGATCACAAACACTCATTGATAATGAGATAAGAAAAAAAAAAGTGTATAATTTTTAAATGAGTAATTGTAATCAAATAACATGATCCGCTCCCAAATTTTTAAAACCGGACACAACTTTTATTGTAGAGCAGCCACACAGTGCTATGACAGGGAGATCTGACAACTACTGACATGTGCTATATGGAATAATTGAAGTTTTCCTTTATTTTGAATATGTATAACATAAAACTATAAGGAGAGATATTTTAACTACCAAAATTTTTTACTATTAACTTACTACCTATCTAATCATCATTAGATTAACATTTTCTCTCCCTCTTCAAATTTTTTTTAATATTCTTGGTGATGTGATGGGTAGTAAGTTAGTAGTAAATATTTTTGGTAGTTAGAATATCCCCACTCAAAAACTGTATATGAACCTTGTGCTTTCCATATTTATAAAAGGTATAATGTTTTTATAATGAGATAGTTTTATTTTTTATATATATAAAAAGGTTTTTTTTTTTTTTTGCAGTTATTGTATACAAGTTATCTGCAGAAACTCCAATACGACGTCATTATGAGGCAGAAATCATGGTATTTTTGTAATTTTAATTTAATTCAGCATTATTATAATTTTTATAATTATAATTTTTAATGTTTGAATTTCAAAACGATGTCATTTTGAAAGTAAATGCAGATAACTTATCTGCAGTGACTAGTGACTGCAGAAATATTTTTCTGATATAAAAATATGTGGAACATATAAAAATATACGAGAAGAAAAGAGGAAAAAAACATAAATCCTACGTACTTTTTATGTGTGTAAAAAAATATCAATCCGATTTATAAAACCTCAACTGTTATGGCTATTACATCTCCTTAAAAAAGAAAGATAAATAAGTAACGGACAAAGATATGGGTTTAATATTTTTGTTTTAGTGCAGAAAATCTTTTTTTTACTATACTCATATAAAAATTTGAGAATCCAAAATAAAAAGAAGAAGAAAAAGAAATTATTACTGCCCACTCACTTCTTAACTTTTAGGTAGTGACATTTTCACGGTTGTATTTATCTCATTTAATTTAATATGAGATAAATTAAATTTTTACACACACATACAAAGATGAGTTTCATCTTTTTTTTTTTTTTTCTCTTCAATTATTTGTTGGTCCTTTTGTAATTTTATTTGTGACGTAAGATAACTCATCTCCAATTACATAATAAAAACATTTTCCAAATATATTCAGCGTATTTGAGTACTTCTTTGAATTTGACGCGACAACCATGACTCAGAAGGTGGCTTAGGCAGTGGTGGAAGTAACACAGCTCTGCGGCAGAGACCAAAAGGCCATCCCTCGCAATTACAAAACTCCTGAACTACTGAACGCCTCCAATATTTTGACATGCCAAGTTCGTTCAAGCTTGAACAACGTGAAAGGTTTGTCTTCACAGAATAAAATGCTTCCTCGTGACTTAGAGAACTCGAACAACATGAGAGACTACTTTTAACAGAGAAATATTCTTCTCTCTCGTCTTGTTCTTGATCACCCTCCACCCTTTCTTGTGTTGCCATTGTTTGAGTCACATACAATTCTTTTGTTGCAGGAGAGTATACCCAGGAAAAACTATGTCTCAAGACGCTTGGCTTGTGCTTCTGATTTTCCATGGCTTGGCTTATAACTGCTGAAATAAACACCTGAACAAGTATTGAAATTATAGAAAAATTCATATATAAATGGGAAAAAAATAATTGTATAAAATATATATATAGTATATTGATACAAAAAAGAAAAACCACTAGTTTCCAACTTTCCATTTATATTAAACCGTATATCCTGAAATACGGAACTAAATATAAAATATAAGGAAATAGGAAAATTGAGCCTTATTATTTAAAGATGTAATTTTAATATTATAGGATATCTTCCGGATATTATATTATTATTTTTATTTTTTTTTAACATAATTCAATCTGAAAATTATACAATATCTCGTAATTATATCCTAATTTATAGCTAAATTCAAAGAGAGGAAAACAACAATCGTAATGACATTGAAAATCTAAGATGGAAGTCACATGGACTAAAAAGGAAAGAGATTTTTAGAACAGTTTAAGATTGAGTAGTGAGGTAAATGTACTTCCTGTTCCTCGTCAAAATCGCTCATTGGGTACTCCTCCTCAAGGGTAGCAGTTGAAAGCCGTCCACCAAAAGTTTGGCAATGGGAAAATAGTTCCTTAAGAGTTGCTACAATGCATTTGCATCTCTTAGGATGCTTTGGTGGCTCTTCGTGGTAGAAAACACCCATGGTGGAAATTTGTTCATCAATTTGTCGGATAGGAATATATATTTATGGAACTACCAATACCTCTGTGCATACGCACTAGTGTTGATGTTCAAATTGACCTGTTTGATTGATAGTGGCCCTTCAGCATACTGAGAATACTAAAGCTTTCTGTGTTCTTCTAGTTCTTTAAAGACAAGTTAAAACGGCCTTGAGACATTTTAACTAATGGCAACAATATTCAATTTAGGACTAGAATGTTTGTTTGACAGCCATAAGTAGTTTGGTTGAGAAATTGTTTTGTGTTCTTGGAATAATGCATCGGGTCAATAAGAGCATGACAAGTGACGTGACATCTATGTTTTTGGATGTATTATGCCTGTAGTACACATAAGAATGTCTCCATCCGTAACCTTCAACGATTTGTTTAAGTTAGTGTGCTTAGTCAGAGTGACACTTTAAGTTAAAGCCATGGTTAACATGACGTGCCACCGAATAAATAATGCTATTTGATAAATTTGCTTGGATTGGTTATCCTCCAATTGAAGTTATATCGAGAAAAAAACATTGAAAGAGACTAGAGCGTCGGGACATGACAGGCTAAATGATCCCCTATGGTATGTCTTAAAGTTGACTCACATGGCATGAAGGATTAATGTTAGTAAAAAAAGGAAACCTTTTGTCAAGAATTTGATTCATCGTATTGCGCAAACAACTAATCTTAAGGAACAGATTCACGTGCAAGTATTCATATTCTTCTACATTTCTCTTGTACAAATTAACCCCTCTCTTTAATTGCCGGCTTCATTTCATGAGTTTTTGGGCAAGAAGTCTTCAATATAGCATATCTTAGGAGTAGCAGAGACGTGAGATATATTGAAGTTCAGTATTTTCAGATAATTATATTGAACTAGTGTCTGCACCCAAACTGTGGTGCTTTTATCGGGTACGAGACTAGGCGAGGAACAAGATGTTAGTTTAGAACAGCATTTAGTGGGGGTTTTTTTTTTTTTGATAAAGGACAGCATTTAGTTAAACGGTTCATTCACTTAAAAAAGATTGTTAAACGCTAAGCCTATTTAGGGCTCGTTTGGTGAACAGGTTAGGATAAGAGTAAGATATGATATGGGACTGATAAGGGTAAGATATGATATGAGACTAATAAGGATAGGATATGATATGAGATTGATAAGCCTATAACAAATTAAAGGTTCTAAATTCCAAAGCAAAATAATCAAATTTAAGCTTATAAATAGATTAAACATGCGCTTTAGTAAATGATATGAAATTATGTTTAGGATTTTCAGTTTTAAAAAAAATTTAAGAATTTTTTATTTTGTGTTTTTAAGTTTTAACGATTATTGTGTAATTATTGTTGAAAAATAAAATAATCGGGCCAGCTCACATGTTAAGCAATATGCCCCATTTAACCCAAGATGGGCTAAAATTACGAAAGTTCAAACGGGTCAACATTTCCCCAACCCACCCCTAATTCTTTTTTACAGCCCAAACGACAAGGGTGCAATCCTTTTTCTTTCTTCTTCTTCTTCTTCTTCTTCTCCTTTTTTTAACTAACAATCCTTTTTCTTAGTTACCTATTCTGCTTGATAATTTTTAATCTTGGGAAGTGGAAAATCTTGGGGATAGAGTAGACAAAACAAACTGGGTTTATATAACTCCTAGGTATAGGTGACATATGTATACATTTATAACACACATGTAAATGTAAGTACGATTATAATGGATAAAAGGAATGCAGGGCGGACAGAGAAGATTGATGCTCATCATCAACTTCAAGAACAAGAATTATATTATGAGTAGGATTCTAAGTCCCACAGATACAATGAATTATGTATCAAATAGCTTACAACAAAACATTCTCATCAGTTAAAAGTACCTTTCGTGTTAGACCAACCTTGGTGGAAAATCCTTGGCGACGAGATGGTGAGCCTGTCAAAAACCGTATTTTGACCAAAACCAAGTCATAAATGACCATTGGAGAAAATTCTTTGCTCCCCAGTTCATTTCTTTTACACAAAAAACAAGTTGAAGAACAGAAGTATAATCGACGATCAAGACAAAGGCTTTGCCTGAGCTAGCTTTCGCTCTTGTAGCCTACGAGGTAGCCCTGGTTGATTATGTTACCTTTGATGTTTGGTTATTTGACTCATGAACTAACAACTCCAGAGACCCATGGAACAATCACTGGTGCAGATGGGTGTGAATTTCGATATGATTCAGAATACCTATCCTTAAAATTTATTCGAGGTTTCTCAGCCTAGGTTCAGAAAATCAATTAGAGTATATTAGCCAAACAGAAGGAGAAATACATGATCAAGAGGGAAAATTTCAAACCAGTCGACAGATGAAAAATCAAGAATTTTTCAGATCTCAGATAGAATAAAAGTATCAAAAGTAATTATGCAAATACATAGGAAAGAGGCAAACTAGATAATTATTGAGTAGAACTTACATATTTCAGCCAGCATTCTTGATGTTTGTGCTGATAGATATCTGGAGAATGACACCCAAACTCAGATGGGCAATAAACCCAAATATTGCATTTCTTTTCACCTTCCTTGGCATGTCTCGCATGGTCCACGCAAGCCTGACAGCAATCAGCTGCACTATCTTTGTGGTGGGTAAGACCCCATCTTACTGCAGCACCATCATAATCCGTGTGAAGTTCAGCATGGCACTCAGGTGAAAGGGGTCTGCCAGGAAGAACCTCCTCCTCTGGGGAAAATGTATACTTGGTAAATACAAAGAATAAATTTCTGCAAGAATATATATATATATATATATATATATATATATATATGCATACTAATTCCAGATTCTATCAACAATGTATGCATGTTGACTGATTCCAGGAAATCACTAAAGCCATGAATTTTCTACTAACATACATTGCAGACCAGGCATAACAGGGGGAGTCTACAACAGGAAGATGGAAGGAAGAAAAAAAAACAACATTTTGACTGAAGAAACTGATAGTACCAAACTCCTCTTCTCCCTCAGGTTTATCATCATGAACTTCATTAGCAACTTGATCAGATATCCAAAGGCCAACCTCTTCACAAAGCACAACCCAATCAGACTCCAAAGCTCTTACTAGCATACCTATGAAGTTGAAGTAAACATAGGTACAAGGTGTCAGATTTTTAGAAGCATCCATTACTAGTTTGCAAAGAGCATAATCTTAAAGCATCGCACAATAAACTCAACAGTCACGGACACAGCAGAAAATCAACGTTCATACCAGCCTCTTCATGAGGGATGATTGAGTTGGAAGTTCCATTCACAAGAGCCAACTTGACCTCTTTCAGTTTTTCCTTGCGCCAACTTTCAACTGCTTCTGCATAGTGAAAATGTAATATCACCAAAAGAAGCAAGAATGAGTCGATGTTAAGTTAGCAATAAAATTTCTTCCAAATTATTTGAACTTATCATTTAAATAACACCAACAAATTTAGTGTCTAAAATAGCATAGCTTATAGTAATTCATAAACCAAGGAGGACTAGACTCCCCATTCTCAAGATGAACCTTTTCAAGCACCACAGGACCTCAGATCCCACACATGGCTAAGCCTTTCAAGATTTCTTTCGGGGGGGGGGGGGGGGGGGTAGAAGTAAATCAATACACCCAATGTATTCAAGACACTTTCTGCTGTTGATTTGCAGCCCAAAAAACTGTAAGTTCCCTTTACATTTTAACAGCAGATCACATAAACTTGTGGTCTCTGCCTCTGCACAGTAATCTCTTTTACTTTTGTTTCATCACATATTTCAGGATAACAAATGACATATTTCAAAATAGAATTAAGTAATGTGATGTAATATGGTCAAAGATTTTCCCAATCAAATACACACAAATGTTAAGTAATTGAATCGGTCAATCATCAGTCTAAATAATTTAGTGCCCAGAATATATAAAAAATCAAACTATCTTCACTAATTTTGTCTTTCAACAAATCAAATAATACACCATAAGCATTTCAGACTTTCAACCTGAGGGACTGAAAACTCACTCAATGTCTGCACTCCTTACTAAATATAATGAGCTGCTAAGTTACATTTCTGAGTTACATACACAAATTCAATGAGCTAAAACGAAATTTGACCTTTTCATGTTCCTTACTTCCTTGTTGTATCTAAAGTTAGGGTACAATCTGACATTCTCACTGATTACCATAACGAACACTTGTAATTAAGCAGAGGACTTATTTTTATTGCAAAAGTGAGATGTGTCAGATGGTCTGATCTAGGTTAATAGGACAAAACACCAAGAACTTAAATGCAATTCCTTATTTATCATCCAACCCTCAACCAGGAAAAAAGGTGAGATACAGCTATAAGACCAGCGTGTTGGTGCAATTTTCTAATAGTAATGCGGGGAGTATATCACACTTGCAATCTGCTCCAAAAGCTATAAATGTTAGTAAGGAGGCTCACACAGAATTTTTATTACTGAAAAACCAAATGCGAGAGTTGTAATGAGAAACTGCCAGGACCAGGAGGCAGCAAGAATAACAATGCAAATCATATCTTATGCATTCAATTTAGCTGTAATCCACAAGATACTTAATAAAGTTTAAAGAATGAATCATAGATTATTTTCTTATCAGCAAAATTTACAAGCACACACTCACCTCGTTCCTTAGCATTATCTGTGCTACTGGAATTCAAGCCCCTTAGTCTCTGCAAGATCTCATCAATTATTTTCTGTTTCAAATGCTGAGGCAACTCAACCGCCACGTTATCTCTCGAAAACTCCCCTTCTAAAGCATTCACCTGTTTTGAACAACGGTTTCATAACATCAACTCGAGGTTGGTAAGTGATTAGTGGAGGCAGTTATAAACGTTTCATAGTTCTTACCCATTTAATTAACTCTACCGGTTTATATGCATTGCGGATTTGGATTGATTCTTCCATTTTCTTAATCTGATCTGGCTTATACAAGACAACTTGAAAACACGAAAGAAACAAACCCAAATCAATACGGTAAACGGTTTAATCATAAAACTTCGATCTGAAAAAACCCTATTAATACCAGATTGATGTTACTTACCGTTACGGGAGACGTTACCAGAGTAGATATAAAGAGAACCATAGAGAGAGCGAAGAACGTAGAGAGCAACGGCAATGTTGACAAAGCAAACTAAGAGAGTGGTTTTCTTGTAGGAACAAACCCACTTCCCTCTCGCCATGTCTCTCTCACTCTCCTCATCCCACCATTTCTGCGAAAACTGAAAAAGCCAGCTCCCACTTTAAATATTTGTAATCTGAGATCGATGAATCGAAGCAACCACAAAATTCACTTGTGTTTGAGTAACAAACTTGCACCACCAATTTGTGATTAGCTTTTGTTATTCCACAACGACGATTGATTTTTTTTCTTTTTGGCTCTGCAATTTTCGGCTCTAATCAGTGCCCTAAACGAGATATCGAAGTCATCGAACCCGATTTGGTTCTATCGTACGCTTTTTGTCTGAGCCGGTGGGTGGGGTGGGAATCTGACGGAACACCTAATCATTTCGGTGGTTCCACGATTATTGATGGTTGTCATGCTAAACTGCGCTTGCCACTTATGTCTACTGTGCGCCCGATTTTCAAATTAAAAAACTTTTTTTTTTCTTGGTTTTATTTCCTAATTAGTAATTATATTTTCTTGCCTTTTTCACTACCTATGAATCTTTTTGTCTTGCTAAAATTTATGAATCTGTTCTTCTACATATTTTCTTCTTCTTTTTTCTTCCATTATCAATCGTGTGATTATAGTTTATTATTAAAGTCCAATTAGGAAATAATTGTTTATTACAAGTTATGGGCTGCCTTGCCCAACCCGCAACCTTGCATTAGAAGATTGAATAAGGCCGACAAAATACTTTCCTTAAAAATATTATGTTTAATTTGTATGATCTGTCCCATTTTTATAGTAGCACTTTGTTCTATGATTTTTTTCCCCATTTAATTGAAAACATGAGAATAAGTGGATATTGACAAAAGGGAAAAATAACATAAAAAGTGGACATGGTCTGAATTGCTATTACCGTAATTCGTAACTCCATTATACGCTACTGTAGTTTTTTTTTTTTTTAGTTACTGTAATTTTTTTTTATTTTGTTTGACGTGAGAACATGTGCTGATTGTCTAAATCATGATATAAAGTAATGTCGTGGGTTTGCTAATTTTAATGTTTGACTGCACCTGTCTAAAATATGTGGAAAAAATGAGTAAGTGCATATAATTACGGTCGTTCACTTCCACTTTATTTTTTTTTGTATTCAGTAACTTGGTTATAAGTTTATGATTAAATGGTTACTTTAATTTTGTTGTGAAGTAAACGATGGAGATAATATAAAAAAATTAATTTAATTTATCATAAAGTTAATAAAATGGTATTTTATTATATAATAATTTGTTTATAAATTATTTTTTCAGAAAAAAAATACCAGTGTAAGACAAATGATACTATATGATAATATTAGATTCCAATTTAAATTGTAAGCTGACGTTTTATTGTGAAGTTATTTCTTTTCAAGATGAAAAAATTTGAACAGAATAACAATAGAAAGAATGAAAAAGGAAAGCCCAAAAGAAAAAACAACTATACCCAGTTCAGAGGGGGCAACAAAAAGCAACCTTGCACTAGCTAGCTTGGTTAGGAGACGCTCTCTACCTAGTGATAACTGCCTGGGGACCATCAAAGATAAGAGTGGTGATGGCCTGAATTGCTGATAGGCAATCACTCTCTACTAGTGGTGATGGCTTGAATTGCTGATAGGAAATCGCTCTTTACCTGTAAGAATTGGACATTCCTCTCCCAAGTTACCTGAGTACCTCTTTGAATACTAATTGCTTGTGGGGGACCATAAAAAATAGGAGTGGTGATGGCCTTAATTGCCGATAGGCAGTCGCTCTTCACCTCCAAAAATTGGACATTCCTCTCCCAAGCTACCTGAACACTTGTTGGACATTCCTCTCCCAAGTTACCTGAACACCTGTTTGAATGCTGGTTACTAACTGCCTATAGGGACCATCAAAGATAGGAATGGTGATGGCTTGAATTGCCGATAGGCTCGCTGTTCACCTGCAAAAATCCAAAGTTCTTCAGTAAGAAGGGAACAAATCCCAATTTTATACATGAAACCAGTAATCCAAATCCCACTAGCATCCCTGATAAGGCCACCCCAAGTTGCAGATAAAGAATTTAACTCACAAAAGCATCAACATTAAGTTTCACATATCCTTGAGGAGGGGGAGCCCATCTCACTCTCTAAATAGCAGGGGAGTTAATGTGCTCTTGAACTTGGAAATTCATACTCACTTTGATAACTCTAGCATAAGACGAGATTAAAAGAATGGGATTGTCAGGCCTGGTAAATGGGGATCATGTATATTATTGTTGCGTCATCGTCATTGCATCATCGCCAGATGAACCAGGAGGTAATGATAAAGATTTCTCTCTAGTTCAGGGCTTGACGATGGGCCCATCCTTTAAGCGGATTTTGGCTAATCCAGTCTTCTATAGGCATATAAAAAAAATCCAATGGGATATTGCCAGCAAACCATGCCTTCCAAATAGGGGCAACCCTCTTCCAATCTCTGAGAACATGGGAAATGCTTTCAACTTTGTTACAACAAGTGTGACAAAAGGGAGAGCCTCTCCATTTCAATGTGAGTTCATTAGTTAGGATGCGTCCATGGTACAAAATCCATAAAAATGTGTGAATCCTTTAGGGGCCTCTCTAATTCCAATCAGATTCCATAAAGGATCAGAAGCAATTGAATCAAAATTCATAAGACTACTATAAGTTGTCCTAACCACACTTTTCTGACCCACCTTATTTCTCCACACCAATCTATCATCACCCCTCTCAGGAGAAGGGGGAAGAATGACACCTATAGTGTGAACCACTTGTTGGAATTTATATATATATATATATAAATTGTATAGACAATCTATTGGTTATGAATAAGAAGTTTGGTAGTGAAAAAGGTGTGCCTTTTCGTCGACAAACAGATGTATCTTTTCATCCTAAAGGATGTGTTGTTTCATCCTAACGGACATGTTGTTTCATCCTTGAATGGGTGTCTTTTCGTGTCGAACGAATGTGTTTTTTCGTGTCCAACAGATGTGTTGTTTCGTCGTCGAATAGGTGCCTTTTGGAACGTGACTTTACGTTGTCTATAAATAGACACTGACACCTTCAGAAAATGGATCCAATTTTTCTGCACTGAAACTCTGCCGAAATTTTTCTCCTTCCGGTTTTGCATGTTCCTTTTCATACTCCGGTGTAGTTTCCTCTGGCATTTTGTTGTGTTCGTTTGGGCTGTTGATTGGTAGTGCCACCATTCTTCAGACGAAATCTGTTCTATCCTGGGAGACAAGTGTCCATCAACCTTTGGCATCAGTGAGGGGGCAAATTGTCTTAAGGAGACACGTTCTGTGGGCTCGGATTTTATCCTTCTGATTTTGCATATCTGATTCATCATTCTGTCTTTCTCTAATACCTGACAAGTAAGTCTGTTTTTAATTGTTTATAATTGCACAGTGATAATTCTGATCATCTACCTCCTCCTCTGCTTTATACATGGGTTCAAACCTCTTAGTGATTTAACATCACCCACTGTCTTCTATAACAATCTTAAGACAATTTGGTGTTTTGAACCTGTGATCAGTATATTTTATATTTCAACTTTAATATACTGTTTATATTTATTGTGTTATTAAAAGATTAATTTTTGTGATCAATCAGAATTTCTGTTTGATGTAACAGAAATGGAATTTTCTAATCTGTGTTTAATATTTTGATTTGTGAACACTCAAATGATAGAGTTTCTATTTTGATATTTTTAACTTACGAAATTTGAAAATAATTTTATCCACAAATGTTGTTTTCGTAAGATTAATCTGGTGCATTCATGATTCTGATTGATCATGAAATATTGTATTTTTACTCATGAAAGTCTTATACATTTGAATAATATATAAAGACAACTTTTTGATAATCGTGCCAACATATTGTCAAAAAGTTCACTCACTGTTATGGTCTTACGAATGAATTTGATTTAATATTATGCATTGTGTCTCGAGAATCGTGCATTCCATTTTGTTTTGATCAAGTGTTGTTATCATAATATCATGTTGTGATATTGAATTTGAGTTATGTCAATATCGCCTCGATAATCGTGATTTCACATAAGTTTTATTTCTGATTTGTGATTTTGCCTACATTATGCGTTTTGTTCATCTGTGAGGTAGTTATTGATTGCTTGATGTGTTTGATGATCCTTCGTTGAAGTTGCGTTTAACCGCTGTGTGTGGAAAATATTTTTAAAAAAAAAAGGATACAAATTGTTCATACTGAATAAGTAGATATATCGATTGAAGAAAATGACGGCTTCCTGGTTTCTTGAATTGTTAAAGAATAATTCATGTAAACATATTGGAACTGTTGAAAAAATAAAGGGGAATATATTAATCAATTTTAAATTGGTGGTTATTATGAAGAGAAAAAAAAAATTGTTCAAAGCAACTGTCCTTTCAACATATGGAAAAAGAGAGGATGCCGTGGATGGATATATATGGTTATAGTGTTTTATGATGCGTTCTCTGTTATATATTTTAATATCCAGTTATATGGAAAAATGAGACGTGTGCAGTAAGTGGTAATCCATTATGTGCATTTTTCTTCAAGAAGCACGTGTGCAGTAAATCAGTTCATTGGCTTTCTTTGTGATTCAAGTAATCTCAAATCCGAATGTATGTTTGTAATATTCTTGTTACAAATATTGATAATCGACTCTTGAAATGAATGCCATAATCGGAAAATATTTTTTATATTTATTGTCGGGCTTTTATTTGTAATGTTCGGTGTGGGGAGATTTTTGGCATGAACAGAGGTCTTACCTCATCAAATTCCGTATGCAAATGCCATGACCAGCAAGAAAGCTTCACTGTGATCTCCTTTTGGGTTTATTTTTGTGTAAATTAAATCATAAATTAAATCGGATTTGATTTCCATTTGCATAACAGAAATGACAAGTATGATAAATGAGAAATATTTATGACATGAATATTTTGTTATATTTATTATTATGTGTGAAATGTCATGCTTTTATAGGCATTCAATTGTATACGGTACACTTCATAGATTTGATGGTATATGATTGTGTTTGATATCCATTAACTCGTGATTTATAAATGTGAAAGTTTGACTTTATGATTTAGGCAAGTGATAACTCTTGCTTAAAAATGCACTATGTGCTTTGATCGATATAAAAGCCTTATATCTAGTGAAATATTTGATACTATGTGAACTCAAAAAGCTATCTTAGTGATGGCATGATCAAGGTCAATGGATGACTTTGAATATTGTAAATGACATGATGATTGTGTATCATTTTAGGGTTAAATTGGAATTTATTATTTGATATATGTGTTATAGTCGAATAATGTTAAATTGAAAGGTTAAGGTATTAAGGAGCGATCGAGGGGGAGATTATGATGTCCCTTTGAGGAATTTTGTTTATAGTTT